AGGTTGGTGGCCCTGCATGTGGCAGGGGGGTTGGAGCTTGATGATCCTTGAGGTCCCTTCCAACCCTGGCCTTTCTACAATTCTATGATTCTATGATTTTGTACACCACTCACCCCCGGCTGGTGAGGCCAGTTTCCTGGCTGCAATAGCAATGAGCTCCCTCTGTGACACAATGCCAAAACTCCTCCTGATAACAAATGAGATGCCAAGGGCTGCAATGCGGAGAGCTTGGAAGCCTCCACCTCTGGTAACAACACAAGACTTGAACCCACTTCCTAGCCCCAGAATGTGCAACCATACCCATGGCTGAGGAGTCAAGGGTGGATGTGAGGAATCAGCCCAAGCCAGGATGCCTGCACCTGGGTGCTGTGGCCAAGCAGACAGAGCACTCTGGACCAGTGCCCTTTTTGTTGCCCTGTACAACACCCAGCTCTCCTCTGGACACTGCAGAAAGCTGCTCCGCCGTTTCCAAGGTGATCCTGGGGTGAAGGCTGCTGCATATTCCCTTGCAGGTAGCAGCAGCTGTAGGCAGGAGATGTCCTTGGTTTGTCCATTGTTTGCAAGGAAATAAGGAAAAGCAGAAACAAAAGGTCTGTTTGTAATTATATCTTAAAGACCGGTAAGAAGAAAAGACAAATTAGGGCATTTATTTTGGGAGATGGTGATTGTTTTCTAATGCAGCTCGAGCCTTTGCAGCTGGGAATAAGCACTGCAACTCCATTGTAAACAACAAAATTAATCATTTAATCCTCATTTAGCACTGTCCTCTAATGCAATGGATACAAATGCAGTCGGTGCCTCCCACTGAGGCTGAGGTTATGGGAGGAAGACGCTGTGTGGATCGAGATGTGCGCTCTTTTCCATGCAGCACACGGCCCCTCATGGCCCCACGACCTCCTCAGATCCCAGAGAAGTTCTTTGGGAATAACATATTTCTGCAATTTCTTCTCCAGAGCTTTGCAGCATTTATTTTGATTTAGCCTCACTGGAGTCTTCCTACTGACGTCCTTGAGCTCAGAATTTCACAACACCCTGTGGTTTTGCAGGCAATGGATGTTTGCTTAATAGAAACATTTCAGTTGGTTCCCTACAAAAACAAAGAGAAGCTCACCCCAGAAGAGGTTTGTCTCCTTTCAGTTTTCCTTCTGATCAATCTGTGGGGAAACCATAAGTGTATCCTGCACACACTTGGATGTAACCCACATTTCTTGCTAGCATCATGTTAAGCATCCAGTCTCACAGGGTGCACGGTGATTTCCAGGAAGAATCCACCTGTGCCACCTGCCTCCACCAACTGATGCCAGATGTAAAGGAGAATTAATAACAGCAACCCCACACACAGTTTTTAGGTCACCTCTTCCCAGGGAAATTTTGCCCAGCCTCCTAGACTTCACAATCAAATTAAACACTGGGAAGTAACGAGCTGCAATACAGCACAGGCAGCCAGAGAGCAGTCATTGGCCCATTGGCATGTGTCGCCTTTGCTGTGTGGGCTGGAGTTTCCAATAGCACCACAGTACATCCAGAGAGCACAATACACATCTGCATTAGGGGACAGCATCAGTCCAGCAGCACGCGGTGTATACTGGCAGGTTATGCACTTATCCATCAGCTCTAACAGTGCAGGGAGCACCAGGGAACACCAACGCTGTTTCAGAATAAATCTCTCTTGATGTTTACATCTGCTCATGAATGTCACAGCCTTTTAGTTTGCCTCCAGCACACTAAAATTCTGCAACACGCTCACTTTTATTGATTATGATTCCTCAAAGCATGCAAAGGGCTCGGAACAGGCGTGATGCAGATGAGGGCAGATATATGACGCAGCTTTCAGGAGCCACGTTTCTTTTTAATTAATCATACCCAGACCTGAAATGATACATCAGTCTGCTGTACAGCGATGTGAAACTGATTGGATTTCCATGTAAAATTAACGAAGTTGGGTGGCATTGCTGGAGCCTTCCTATCCAGATATGCAGTCCATCCACTGCCACTCTCCATCTCGCTAAACTCAGCATTCAGCTCCCAGTCCCTGACTCACCCCATCCCCTCAGCTGGCAGGTGGCACCTACTGACCTGGCATCCCTCCAGAGCTGTGGGATTAACAACCACATTCTTACAGCAAATGTCAGGAAAACCATTACCTCCCCATTACCTCAACAGCGTTTTCAAAAGTTAATTTATTTCCCTCTCCTCTTCTCTTTCTTTCTGCAATTTGCACTACTGGTTGCTAAACAGATGATGGCATGCTTCACCCCACCTCACAGCCCTCCCCTATAGCAATGCTTTAAGTAATTCACTGCTTTACCTAATTACTCCAGCGTGTTGTCAAGCACAGCAATTTTATTTCCATCCAAACCACCACTCTTCCCCAAATTAATACCCATTATTTTCTTCCAGCAGAATTTCAGCTCCTTAATAGCAGTAGAAAGAAAAGATTTCTGGCCACTTGGAGCCATTAGGGGGAGATCTGTGAGACAGCACCATCCCAGCACTGCCAGTCAATCTCTCTGTTGGCACTGAGATCATTTGGAGTAGAACCCAGAGCTGCCCTCCTATGCACCTTCAGGATCCCCAGCCGTCCCCATTGTTCTTCTCTTGGTGTCCAAGGCTGCTAAGGGTTGGAGAGGAACCACAGCGCACACATAAGGGACGCACTGCCTTGTGCTTACTGGGAGGAAAGGGCACCAACAAGGTGCAAGGAAGAGCTGAGCCCAGATCCTAAGCTTTGGACCTAAGCTAAAGCACACTCTTTTCTCTGCTTGTGCCCCACACTGCATCCTGGTTTGGTGAACTGCGGTCCTCAGCATCAACATGAGGTGAAACGGAGCAGCCACAGCAGCAGCACAATGCCCAAAGGCTCTCTGACAGATGTGGGTGTGCAGAAGGACACCGTGGGTGGTTGTGGCTGCAGATGTACAAGCACAGAGGTACGAGCAAGAAGGTTACATGGCAGTCTGACATCCAGCCAGGTAGCAGAAATAATGCTTGGTATGAAATCAGTTTATAGGAGAGCATAAATGCAGAGATACGAAATATTTGCTTTCAAAATCATTTTGAAAAGAGCTGTCTCAGACATCCTAACAGAGATGGAACAGCAGCAGAGCCAGTGAGGCCCCACTGGGCAGCATGGCAGCAGCACTCAACACGAGTGGCTGGAGAAGGGAAACATGAAAAGATGGCAAAGCTGGTGAGCTGCGTCGACCAGCAGAGCCCTCACCCTTACAGCAGCCCCTCAAATGTACTTTAGCCAGAAGTAATGTAAAGCCAGCCCTCAGCAAGCACTTCTCTAATCAGTGCTCTGCAGCCCCTTCCCAGTGGTCCTGAGCTCCTATCACACTGCAGCACACAGAAGGCATTTTCTTCAACACTGGAAGACTTCCATCATACCCACCCATTACACCCATTTGGCAAGTTAGAAACAAAGCTTTTAAAGAGTCTTGTTCAATAAATGGCTAAACCTTTACCCTGGGCTGTTTTAAAATGCATCTGCCTGCACAGTAGCAGGGAGGGAGGCATGAAGGTTTGTATGATCCATGTGTGACACATTGACAGCTGAATTAGAAGCTGTGATCCTTTTTCCATTAATAAACAATTTAGGGAAACTGTGTTAGAACATCAGTCTCAGCAACAAAGGTCACAGAAAACACACACACTTCAGCATCATAATTCAGAAGCAGGTCCATCCTAACACAGTGGCCTCCAGACCAACAGAATAAACAAGATCACAAGCGGCCTCTGATGTGGTGCATTTGTATTTGTGATGTTAGCTAACATCTCTATAAATGGCTGACACAGACACAACCAGGCAGCCTGGACAGAAATGTTGTTTATCCTCTCCTTACAGAGCAGGAGCTTCATTTAGAAAGAATAAGGAAGGCAAATCAGAGGCATGAGGAACGTACTAGATGGCAGTGACATCTTTCTAGCTCGTTCAAAGCAGAAATGAAATGACAGTGACTGCTCCCTGCCACCCTCCTGGTGTGTTTCACACAGCCAAGGTACTCACAAGCAGCACCAGGAGCTCTGCCAACACTCAGTGGCAGCCCCAGCACGCGGCGATCCTTTGGAATCCTCGGAAGTGTCACCAGCAATTAAAAGGAAGAATACTTAATTGAGCAAATTATTTTTTATTTCCACCTGTTGAAAGAGCTGTTTGCTTACCAGCAGAGTCCAACATAGATGTGACATACAGACATGAATACAATTAAATACAGGAAAAATTGAACTATATACAACGAGACATACATTTACAGAATGGAAAAAGTCTTTATATTACCTATCAGCTCTTGCCAATGTGAAACATCACTGGAACGCAAATATATCGGGGTTTCCTTTTTCTTTTTAACAAAAAGAGGAAAATGCAAGTAAGCATTTGTCCACGTACTGAGAACTTAAGGTTTAAGATGCACAGATTTGTGGCACTTCACAGGGTACACAAAAGCTAAAAAAACCTTTTTGTTAAATATTTTATAGTTGTGTATCTAGATTCCAATTAGGGCTACTGAAGCACAAACTATAAAGTGGTATTTACATGGAGGGAGTTGTGCAAAGTCATGTCAGGCTACAGCTAGTAACTATGGAAGCTGCATGGATGTGACGCAGCCTCATCCGGAGGTAATCCATTAAGCCCTCATTACCATCCTTCTGATGCAGCAGCCACCCAGGGAAAACTGGCCTGAAGTTCTTTTCCCCTTCATAGCCTTTAAATATTTTCACAGTTTAATGTTGGGCTGCTTCTTCTCTTCATTTATATTTTAAGTCACCTTTAGGACTGTTTCATCATTTCATCTTTTTTGGAACAGAACATCCAGCCCTCACTGTTGCTGCGCTACCCTAAGACTGCTGTATTCCTTCACTTATGAGTTCATGTTGCCACTGAGGCACAAAGGAAGGAGAGATGTGTAACTTCTTGGTAGTTACAGTATTGCCACAGTGCAGGACCTGCATTTTGCTGGTAGTAGGGCCAAACCCAGGCTTCCCCAAAACATGCTGGGGAAGGTATTGCTGTCGTGCAGCTGGCCTTTACCCAGCACAGTTTGGGATGCTTTATTACACCCAGTAACGCCCCTCAACATCCTAATAAGAAACTTGGCTCTTGGGATGCAATCTTCAACTGAGAACTTGAGATGGCTAATTAAAAGAGCTGGTTTAATTAAAGGCTTCCTACCAATCCCTCGGACAAGTCAGCAAAGAAGCATCAGATCCACTGCTAACTGAATGCATCCTACAGTCACATTGTGCCCAGAGCCCAGAATGCTACTTCTAAGGTTTTTCATAACCAACAATTTTCCAAAAGGTACCTGACAGTCTCATCCTGGATTTATTTTACATACTGAATGTCAGTCTTCACAGATGCAGCTACAGCATATGTGGACCATAAAATACCAATTTTAATTATCTCGCTTATTATCCTATTTGCATCAGCTCACCGGAATTTCACACCAGCCTGCAGATTTCAGCTGGTTTAAAGTAGATGTTTTTAACTCTGCTCTGGGGAAAAAAAAAAAAAGTAACGATACAACAGTGCCTAAAGCTGTGCATTCCTGCCTTGTTCAAACAGAAGAGCTCTCTCCCAGGACAGGTAGCTCACATCTCTTAGCATCACGCACACAAAGAAGGATGCATGGCCTTTAGAGCAAAGAGATTAAATAAAGTTCCTTGCCCCTCTCAATTTATAGCATTACAATTATTTAAATCTTAATCCTATGCATCAGGCTAAAGCCAGTCAGGTGTGTAGTATAACAACTGAAGAGAGGAATGAAGTGAATGGACTGAATTTGAAGCACTGCATTGGGTACACTTGATACAGTAAAAAGATCTGCCTGGGTAGTTTGGTATTCAGCTGACAAGAGCAAAGCATACAATTTGCTTCTCATTCATCACTAGCAAGCCTAGAGAATACTACCTTCTCCTCAGCCACAAGGAGACAGAGCTCTGTAGAACTGCAGGAAACCCAAGAGACTATCTCATCACGTTAGAAAACAAAATAAATTCAATGTTGTGATTGAAATACAGGAATTCTTGGTAGTATCCTCACATTATACATGCTGCAAATTGGGCTATGCATTTCAGATCTCATGGAGTCCATAAAGGCATCTACATGTTCAAGCTGCCTGCTTAAAACCAACCATCTGATTGCTGGTTAACAGCAGGTTAATTTATTGCGTTGTCATGGATGTTAATTTAGTTAATGATGAAATGATCCATTGTTACAGAACTTATTCTACCTGGGCAAAGATGATTTAGCAGAAAGCAATACATAACGAGCACGTTTTAGGATAAAGATAAAAGCGTAATGAAATGGCAAATTCATCTGTATTTTGAAAGGTAACTATTTCATATCTGTACGCAATGGTGGGAATAATTTCAAGAACAAGAAATAACAAAATATTCAGACCCCTCTTATTCACGCATTAAAAAAGTAGAAGGAAAGTTATTTCCTCGAGTTATTCTCAAAAAAATCAGTTTTATTTGGACGTGTGCACAACCTGCTGCTCCTCTTCAGAGCATTGAAAACATGACATTTTTCCCCAAAATCCAGTTGAATCTGTCCTGAGAAATGTAAGCACTCATATATAAATCGGATGGTATTGTCTATGAGTGAGTTTTTTCCTACAAGTTGGGCAGGAGTTGGCATTCCTAAGAGAGTCGCGGAGGCACTGACTACAGAAGACATGGCCGCATTTGGTTGACACTATAAGTCGTCCACTTTGCACGATCTGGAAGGAAAGAAACCACAACAGGTGTTTCACAGAGCTGTAGGGCTTGGAAGGGACCTCTAGAGATCACCGAGTCCAACCCCCGTTAAAGCAGGACCCCTACAGCAGGCAAACAAGGAATTCAGCTCTGCCAGTCTACTGGCACCGCTTTGGTACCCACCATCAGTACATTACTGCTGTAATAACAAGCCTAACTCAGTGTCTTTTCATCACCTATTCCTCCCCCTGCATATGCTACTTCCTAGTTTTACCTTAGAACTCAGGCCTGCACTTCAAGCTAGCTGTCTGTACCGTCCCACGCGTCCTAATGGAGTTGTGCAGTTCACCCTCTTCCCCATTCTCCCTCCCATTGAAAAGAAAACAAGAAAAACAAATGACAACGTGGATCCTTACCTCCGAGTAGCCATCCATGCAAATTGGACAGCTAACAGTACCAGAAGGCCTTGTGGTAAAGGGAATAAAAAAACAAACACATCCATCAATTTCATGGTACACTGAGAGTTGCTGAAACATAAAATGTCACAATCACCTGACTGTGCTGACAAGCCATGACATTTCATCTGAAGATCCCTGCATATCTTAAACTACATCAATGTGTTGCTTTCAGTAAGCAGTTTGGATCTCTGTCACCAAAGGGAAACAGCTTCTTGGTTTTCATTCACCCTACAGCAGCACACCTACAGCAACAGCCATCTTCAAGACATCGGATCAGTTTTGTTACAAAACCATGCAGCTGTCCTTCATTTACTATTCACTCTAGAAATGAAAGAGGCTGACAAATTAACACATCCTATATCCTAATTAAGCAGTGTCCCAACCCAGTACCCAACATATACGTACCACAAACTCCTTCCTTATAAGGTGATCACATAGAGCATATTTTCAGACTGGCTCTCTTTTATATACTGCAACTATTTCCATGTCTCTTAATTCATTGTGCAAGATACACTAGTTAATGATTTCACGAGGAACAAAGACTTACAGTGCTTTCATTGTTGATTTTGCTGTGGTTTTTTTTTTTTATATGTGTGGGAGTTGTTTTTTTTGTTTGTTTTGTTTTTTTTAAGACTGAGATATCTTCTAGAAAAGCAGTTATATTTTAGGTGTAAGCAGTGTATTTTGGGTATATAGTCTCAGTACAGAGTCACAACCTTACAGAAGTTGCTCCTACTGCAACCAGAAAATAAACTTAACAGGTAAGAATTTTTGCAGTGTTTGTCTTCATTAATTTACCTTTACCTAACAAGGAGTTTTTTTTATGTAATCCAAATACTATATTTAGTATAAAATTTAGAGGTACACACTTTAGAGGTAAAATTTAGAGGCTACTTTGCAAATAAATGACTTGAATATCACAACTACTGATTGCAAGTTTTATTAATTCATGGCCAAAACTGGACTAAGAGCTCTACACAGGCACTGCAGCTCCATTACACACTACACCACGCTACATTCAGGGTTCTTGGGCAAGGGGAAGCCCTCATGGTACTGCTGCCTTGGGAAATGTTATTCAGTTCTTGCAGCACGTAGGTCTGGTAGCAACACATACTACCAGAAGGAAATATTCCCCCAAACCACTTAGCTCAGAAGACCAGTTTGGCAGCTGTTTCTAAGCTGAGGTCACAGCTGTACCTCCTCCTGCCTTCGCTTGCCAGGACAGCTGTACTGCAAGCACCACACACCAAACAACCCTGCATAAGGGAATGTGTCATCTCTGTGCACTGATTGTTTTCTATTAGAAAGAGTAGGAGCTTCCTGCCACTTCATTGACAGATTCATCTTCATTTTAGTTGATCACAGCTTCAGTAACTCTATATCATAAACTCTTAGCTTTACTGCGCATGCAGAAGAACATCTTTTACAGTGCTGGTGACAAAGCACTGGAACAGGTTGCACAGAGGTTGTGGAGTCTCCTCTGGAGATATTCAAGACCTCTCTGGATGCTGATCAGTGCTACTGCAGGGAGCCTGCTTTAGCAGGGGATCAGGCTAGATGATCTCTAGAAGCCCTTTCCAACCCCTGCATGCAATTCTGTCATCTCCCATGTTAAGCAACAGTTTATATAATTCATTAATGACAAGAAGGATAAAAAGCATGAGATGTCCTCCACCCCATAATCTTAATTTCAAGCAGCAAGTAATACTGGTCTATCCCTAGTTTCACATACATAATTAAATTCTATTAATTTCTCCATTTTTTACTACTCAAAGTCTTTACGCAGAGGCTGTAATACCAACTCAATAATTAATCACAACTGATGATAACCTTCACATGAACAAGACTAACTCAACTCTGTAGTCTGCCATACAGCCACTTACAGTGTGAAACTATGATCTCACCTTCATGTCAGTGATAAAAGTTACAGCACTGAGTTGTTTTAGCCTTGCCTACACAGAGCAGGAAGTCCCATCTTTAACAGAAAAGTATGAGCTTGAGGCAACTAAACATTACATTTTTACATTAACCAAAAAATAGGCTCAAAGTAACAAGTTTGCAAATTCAGTGACAAAGAGCACTGTTCTCATATGCTACAAGCATCTTCACATTTAATAACCTGAAAACTTTCACATTTAATAACCTGAAAACCAATGTTTCTGTATCCAAGCTCTCCCCCATATTGCCCTCTAGTAAACTAAAAGGCTCAAAGTTCAGTGCAATGAGCTGCTTCCCAAGATGTGCTCAAACAGGCTGTTATGGAGTCCACCTTTAAGTGCCTCCCTGAGTTTTAGAAGAAAGAAGTTAGTGCCAGCATCCATGCATTTGTGAGTTTGGTTTTCCTACTGGTTTGTTTTTGAATCACAGTGCATGTCTTAACTCATAGGATTGCTGGGCCACAGAGCTGGATCTGAATCGAAGGTACCCAAAGAAAGGATTAACAAAATCTGAGCGTTAAGGCCACATATAAATGCCTGCAGACACTGGGATGCAGAGAAGGTGAGTTAGCACATCCTCACTATCACACTGAGTTGTCTTTGTCAACATGACAGACCACTTAAAATTCAAAACAAAATCCCCCACCACTGCTCTTCAGCTTGGAGATTATCAGCACATCTTTTGCTAACTTCTTATCCCTTACTCCCTGGTAACCAGAGCAGGCAGATCAGCTGTGCTGTAAATGCCATTCACTTGGCTCAGATCCAGTACCTCATGCCACAAGGTCAGATGGGGATACTCTACTCAAAGTTTAAGATAGAGAGATAAGAACAGCTGTCCCTCCTCAGTAACTGCTCTAAGTCAGTCATTAAGTTTGACTGTATTTAAAGTATGTAGTAGGTGCTTAGGAAGTATATATAATGCAAAGAAAAACAGATTTTTTTTTTCTTTTATTTATTATCTATCGCACTTCATTTGCAGTTTGGTTTAATCTATTTCCTTGTCAGAGACAATCACTTAATGATAACACAGCCTGGACAGCAAGGCCAAAGCACACAGCACTACCATCAACAAAAGCCTATATTGCAGCCCTTATTAGAATCTGCTTTTTTTTTTTTTTTCCTCCCAAAAACATATTTTCAAAAGATATTTATACCACATTTCTCTTGTGACCATGTGACAAGGGCAGACAAGGAAGCTGATCTCATTCACAGTCCAGTAGATTGTGATACCAAATCATCTACACCAGTGGAAAAGATTCCCACACCTTAACAGCACTACAAGAGCTTGGCACGAGAAGTAAATGCAATACATCATGAGGCACAGATTGTCACTCATCTTCCTTCCTTGCCACATCTCTTTAACTTATAATATACAAAGCTGTACATCCATTCTGCATTGGCTTTTTAGTTAAGAAGTGCAAGCAGTATCATTTTGTCACCGTGTGAAATGTTCTGCTGTACTAATCTGAAGTGGAAACTAAGATTTCAAAGATAAGCCAGACCGTAACAATCTGAATTAGTCCTGCATGTACAGAACAGCAAAACTCAATGTTTGTTAGGTCATAAGGCATACGTACTTGGAGCTTGCAGTTTCATCCTCCAGTGGTCCCAGCTCTCGAGACACTTTATCTGTCACATACACATCATTATCTCTTGTTTCATCTTCATCATCACTGCTTAGCACACAGCTGTCTGACTGTCGCTGGCCTCTTAATCTGAGATTTCTCCTCCGTTGCTGATTCTCTGTAATTTATTTATTAAATTAGATATACCATAAAATACACACAGAATTCTACAACACTATTTTACTACCTTGAAGAATTAAAAAAAATTCTATTTGATTCTTTCAAATAAATAAAAAAGGGTAGAGAAGATTCAAGTTTCTGAGTAGCACAGTGAGGCAGCAGTGCAAAAAGGTTTGGTAACAGTGAGCACTTTGTTCAGGATGGTATAATGCTTGAGCTTAGAAGGGAGCACCATCCCCCACAATTACCTAAACTGCTTAGAGCACTGATATCATTGCCAGCAGCCAGTTGCTGCTTCAGGGGATTACTGACCATATGTACAAACACACACATAACTCAGAACATTCTTCTGCTAACAAAGTCAAGTCATTTTTCACAAGTGACAGAAGAGATGCTTAAGTAACACATTTAAATTCCGTAGGCACTTTGGTTTCTCACCCATTCAAGAACAGAAAAAAATTAGTGAGCCAGCAAAACCCAGAGGTTATAGAACTGCTGTTTGCTTTTTCACCATTAGAAGCTGCATATAAGAATTATTTCTTTGCAACTGCATCATTAACACCAATCATGGAGCCCTAATTACAATTACATAAATAATCACAAAATTTAAAGTTAGTTCTTGCATAATTATTGAGCCATAACCTCTACTGCACGCGGGGCCTTTGTTTTGTTTTTTCACTTCCTTCCTTTAGAGCCCCAAATGGATTACATTCTAAGTAAGCAGCTAACAACTTATTAACACACCTCAGGTACTGTAATCAGAACAAGGTCTGAAAGGTATAAAGGATTAATTTTTTTTTAATACCTTGCCTACAGTTACCTGAAGTAGAAAATACCCAACTTGTTAGCACTAAGCAGTACTGTATTTGAGGAGTTTCAGACTACATGACGAAAACATTATGAACTCTGATATCTTTCTACTTCATTTCCTTCAGTGCAACACAGTCTAATAAGGTCTTTGAACATCGTCTTATTCAAAGCAGATATTCCTCTGCTACAAATGCTAACCCAAGTGACTAATGACTTCATGCTTATGGAACTTCTGCAATGCAGAAGAAAAATGTATTTTGAGAACATTTGATGGATTTTATTTCAGATACATCAGCTTTCATAGAGACCATGAAACATAGATTGAAGCCACTCTCTAAGATACTGGCCAGGTACTACAGCATTGTTCTTTGTCTTTTCCTGAAAGCAGTTTCAATTCACGTTGCTTAAGTTTGTCAGAAAAGAAAAAGTTCAGGACAATTCCTTGATCACTTGTAAAACAGAAACTCACCTTCAACAATCTTGAGCCAATGCACATGGCATGGGAGGGAAAAGAAAAATAAAATTAGATTTTAGTATGCACTAAAGTTTTATGTACAAGTACCAAAAATCTATGCAATTAACAACAAAGCAAGGTAAGAATTTTAGGATATCACAAAGTTATTTTGATTAACAAAGTGTTAAAATAGTTTCAGAGTAATGACTAATTTATTAAGTAATTACTTCAGGTTTTGCTACGGGACAGAAACGGAGGCAGCTTAGGAAACTCTTAACAATCTCCTCTCTGCTCCCCAGTTTCAGTACCCTAACTCGATTGAGGCTGGAGACACCTTTATCTCTTTCTCCCCCCAAAAGTTCAGGTGTGACATCCATGAATGCTTCAGATTACACTAAAAACTGCTAAAAAAAATAAACAGAAAACCAACCTGCTGTTACATTCAGTGGAACCAAAGCCAGGGCAATGCAAATCATGCTATAAGGACTGTGGCATTCCCCTTATACAGGCTCAGCAACAAACCCTGTTATTCCTGCTGCTTGGTTTTGGTTCTGCAAAGCAGTAGTGGCATCCCAAAACTGGTGTTATTAACTACACTGCAGACTGGATCAAATACTGCTCAAGCTTTAATAACAACAGTAACAAAAAAGTGAATTTTTGAAGACTTCCTAGAGTAAGAAGTTTAACTAGCTCCTATCATGGTCAGGCAACCTACAGATGCCTGAACACTTCATATTTGTCACGCTAAAGACTTATTGTTACTTATTTAATTTTCTCTTTAAATCATCGGCCTTTTTCTTTGAAATATTCAATACAGCTTCAGCTTTAAATGGCATTTACTTGCATGATCCATGATGGGTATATAACCCCAAGATTGGAAGCAACAAGCTATTTTACACCGTGCTCATTACCTGCAGGTGGTATTCGTAGATGCAAATACATTAATAGGTCCATCCAGGATTGGATGTGAACTCTGAAATGCTACGTAAGAGCCATGCTTTAACCTCTTAAGGTAGGCTACTTACTTAGATGCCAGAAGACAAACTTAGAAGCTCATCTTCTGAAAAACTAAGGTTCTGGTAAGCTATGACCCAAGCCCCCATCTTGTAAAGACTAAGTTTATTTCTGCAGCAAGTATATCCATTTGCTTGCACTACACAGACCTCCTAACGTAGGTCAATACACATTTCAAAGGAATGCATATATTGAAAAGTCAACTTTGAACTCATCCTTAGATTCTATCAGCAGCAGGCACAACACAGAACACATCTGACTACAAATTTAGATAAGTGTGCCACTACTTACCACAATAGAATCATTGTGAGTTAGATCAACTACTACAGGATCAGAAGATTCACATGTGAGATCTACTACTTCTTCACCAGCTTAAAAACATAATGTTAGAACACAAATCAGAGATCACAGGAGTAAAGTTACCCATCAGACTATAACAGGCTGAGGTACCATTCAACATTGCCCCATTCTCTTCTCTTTGGTCACATACTCAACTTTTCATTCAAGCTTTGCTGTCAGCAGTCTATATACAGTATTAACAGCTTCTGCCAGTTGCAGTGCATAAGTAACTGACCTCACATATTTCCTGATATATCAATAGCTTGTGAGAGATACACAGCAACACCTTAATACAGAAAAATGCTTATCACACTGTAAAACATGAATCAAACAGGATAGAGGAGTTTTTTTCCAGTGCAATGCTGTAAGTGTTCCAGTCTCATATCTCATCTAACTTTCAAAAGCCAAATACACAGCAAAACCAGAAGAAGCCATTTATTTACCTGGAGACCAACAGCCAACTTCTAATCCTTTCCTAAAATTTCAGAAGACAGTTTAATTATCTACTCAGAAGGTTAAAGAGGCTTTTATGGATTCTGGTTGTTTGATGAAACACACTTGGTCAGGGCCCTTCCCCTCACAGGACTGATGACAGAATTTTAAATATCTTTTAGAAACTTGCAAGTTCCCAACTTTAGTTTGCTGTTATCTGAAGCAGCAGCTGCAGTGCTCCGAGTGCATCAGACCAGATAACTGGATGTGTGAGCAGCACATGTGCACCTTTCTTACCTAATTCACCTATCTCTGGAAGTGAAAGCATTGCAGCCCAGTAACAATCTTACAGTTGTCAGTAGGCTTGCTGTTTACTGCTTCCATACTATGTCCTTTCCTAAACAAGTAGCCTTCCACTCTCCTTCAAGGGGCTTGAAACTGGCAAAAAACATGTTAAGCAGATTCCCTACTCTCCAGGAGCAGCCCGTTTTCTCAGGGAGGAAAAAAGAAAGCTTACCACTTTCTTCCAGTTCTATTGGCTCTCCTTCTGAAGCCATCTCTGTGGTAGAAGCTATCAGCCTGCTTCGTTTCTGAGCTTGCCTAGAGTTAGCTGATCCTCCACGGCGCTTTCTTGGAGTCTAAGAGAGAAGAAAGCCTTAGATGTTCTTTAGGAGTAATATTAATGCAGCCCTCACTTTTGCAAGATCAAGGTCTGCATATCAAGGCAGACAAAACGCACCGCTACACGTCTAAATACAACATAAATACAGCAGTGGTATGGGTGACTCCTATCTGAACTGATCACATCAAGGGGCAGACATCATGTTGGGTCTCCTACCAGCTGAGTCACAAAGAAAAAACCACACCAATTCTGAAGGTCTACATGAGAAGATGAGCTCACAATTACATCAGGTGTTAGCTTCCAGCCAATCATCTGAATCAGTCTAACCTAAAAGTTTTCACTCGTGCTCCAAGTATTTCTGAAACACTGCTAGCACCTAGAGATGAGAAATTTAAGTATCACAAAACATGAAGTTAAATGGAAAATTAGTTATACTGCATTTACAGTAAACTGTTAAAAAGATTTACACAAATATGATAAACAATATCTTTTAAGAATCACTTTTACATTGATCAGTAAAATACTTACTGTACTCATGGTGTTTCTTGATCTAGAGTTACAGAAAAAATAAGAGGTACAAATACCATAAAATTAAATGCAAGGAAGCTACAATTTTCAATTCCTTATATTTCTTTAGGTAGTACACTGTTAAAAAGTCCAGATTTCTCAGTATCTTAGAATGACGTTCTTCCAAACCTATAAGAAAAGAAGAGAGAAGATTACCTATCTGTAATTCTTGTTCTCTCAAATACACCCGAACTTAAGGATGCCGTTTCTGAGCCACGAGCTTCTGACCAGAGCTGGAATGGAAGTCCCACAAGTTTAGTATCAGAGCTCCAGACCCCTAGAGCAGGGCCTGAAGCTTCACTTAGACTCGTTTCCTAGCTAAACACCAAAGTCAGTCAGTTTAACAGCAAACCAGAAAGACACTAAGGAGTCCCAATTAAGCTTTATCTGAAGAAACAACCGATTATTTGAAGGCAATGTTTGTGTGGGGGCAGAAATAACCAGGAAGCCATCCTTAGAGAACAAAAATTACAGATAAGCAGTTCTCTTTTCTCCAAACCATGGCCAGATTAAAACACATGGGAGCCAAGCAGCTCAAAAGGAACCTAAAGCAAGCGGAGAACAGAAATCGCTGCATAGAAACACTCCCAGAAACATTCTCTGTCAGGGTGGCAGGGGTTGTGCCCTGCTCAGCATGCAGCTAGCTGCTGGGTGACCCAGCCCCTGTCCCTGCAGGGCTGAGCTCACTGCTCACTGCTCTCAGCTCTGGCTCAGGGCCAGAGTTCAAAAGGTGCCAACTGTGGCTCACTGAACGGACCCACGTCTGCAGAGCCGCAGCTCAGTGAGCTCCTAGCGCTTCCGGACACAAACATGGGCGCACATCTGAGCACTGCTGAACCGACTGACCCTCACACACTTCACTGCCTGTACTCAAAGCAGTAAGCCCAAAAGATGCTCCCTGCACACAGAACTCACCCACACCACCTTTCTCAGTTCCATACCATTCTGTATCCGGTTGGAGCTTGTATACCTCATCTTCCTGCTTACAGGTTGAGATTTCTTTTCACCTCCCAATGAATGAAGCTTTTCCACCACCTCTCAGCCTTACCAGGGCTTGGGAAGATCCTGTTTTACTAAAGCAGATGCCCTGTTTTATGATCACAATCTTCAGGTGCTGTACAACCTCCCTGCTCCGCATTACTTACAGGTTTTATCCTGGAACTTTTGGAGACAAGGGGAGAAGAGGAGGTGAAGCAAGGAAGGCAAGCAGCACGAGGGATGAGGGATGTCAATAAAGAGCATGCCCCCTAAACCCAGCCCTGGCACTGCTGTGTTCCTTCAAACTGCAGCTTTTCAAAGGCAAGGCAGCACCTTCATCTGCCAGCCACTGGAATGTTGGCAAAGCATGCTGTTCCCACACAGAGGAAGGTAATGGGGCTGAGCAACAGATGAGGCACATTAACTCACTGTGCCACTGCGCTCTGTATGCCAGCTTCACACAGAAAGCCAAGCTACAACTTCCTCAGCTTTCCTCTGATACAGAGCTGGAAAAATACTTAGAATAAAAAGCTGGGGAATACTGACATACACACATATATATATGAGGATCATAAGGAATTAATCTTCATACAAGCTTTAAAATTACCAACAGCTGGAATCGTTTTTTGTTGGAGTCTCTTAAAGCAACCTGATGTATCCACACTTACTACAGAGCCTACACAAATCCCCAGTGCTCCTGCCCTGTTCCAGTTGCTAAGGGCTCACATCTGAACTTCTCTGGGAGCTTCTTTAAAGAAGAAAACTGAGGATGGATCTCCACAGGGAGCTCACTGCTGTACAACCACCTGACATCCACCCAGCGAGAGAAGATCCACCAGCATCCACAAGAGTCACTAACCAGGGAAACCAGGCTGCTGGAATTTGTTTTAACATGGAAGATGTCTCCTGATCCAGCAACATTTTTGTCTTGTAACAACAAACCTCTTCTGCGTGGCTGCAGATTTCTACAGCAGGTTCTTGGCTCACTCAGGAAGCTTCTCCCAACGCCAACTATCCAAACCACAAGGAGGAGGAAAAATGAAGCCAAGCTTACTTTCTTTGGTACAACACAGATCAAGTTACCATTACATGAGAACAGAATTAACAGCTGCAAATCCTGCTCGTTTAGGCACCTGCTCACTAATTAGCACTGAAAGGCTTTCAAAGCCCCAGGACCACTCACAGGCCCAGATAGCTGTATCAGCCTGTAAGGTCCATGAGTTCCTCCTCCAGCATGCGCTTCTCAACCCAGCACCCAACATCACAAGCAGGCACTGGGGGGTGCAACCCCAACCCAGAAGCATCAAATAACTCCAGCTGCAGCTATTAACAAAGTCATCTATTATGTCCGTAGTATAATCAGTTCCAGATTCTGAAATGAGGATTTTTTTTTTTTAATAATGACTTTTTTTTTTTAAAATAAAGTTCAAATTCTATTCTTTTTAAATGCAAAAAGTTTGCAGATAACTTAGCAAGCCCATAAATGCTTCCAACTGGCAGAGAACTTGTATTGCATCACTGCAGGACGATGCATTCCTGGAATGAACTGCTCGCCCTTCCTCAGTCCACATGCAGTTACTGTTCTGTCATTCACCTCTCCCAAATCTTAAGTGCTGTTGTCCGCACAGTGAAGCTTTATTCTAGCCAACCTATAGACATTTTTGGTACTACAGCCACCAGCTTCTCTGGACAGGTAGATTCTGGAGACAAACAAAGGAAAAGCCATCTAAATTAAGGATGTTAATAGTAGGAGTAGAGTAATATTGCACTTTCTATATGTATGGCTTAAGTCTCTCATTAATTTTTTTTTTTAATAAAATAAGTTAAGATTTCCACTGAGTTCAAGCTGACCTCATTTAATGGTTCAATTACATTCCTAAAAACTGCATTCTTTATATGGCATGAATCAAAAGCTTTTCTTGCATGACCCTGAGAACAAAGTTTTGACCTCTCACATGCTCAGAATGATTTGGAGCAAATCAGCTTAAGCAAGCAGCAAATATTTTCACTGTGTCTGACTAACACAAACAAGACCTGACTTCATAAACATTCTAATCATTACCAATGTGCAGAAGGCAGTAAAGCAGTGTTTGAAGACAGCAGCAATGTCAGACTTGGTACGTGCAAGACACAAGTGACACAACTGTACAATCACAGAAAATCCCAAGTTGGAGGGGACCCATAAGTATCACTGAGTCCAACTCCTGGCTGCACAAAGAATCACCCAAACCAAACAGCACAGGCAGGATTCGTCAGAGCAGAACAGGTTGTGCCTTCAAATTTGGCTCCTCACTTCTTCTCTCAAGACCTCTCAGTGCACTCCTAATAGCATGAAACAGTAACGAAGATGTGAGCTTATAGAAAAAAAGTTCTGTGGTTCTCTCTGCAGTGGTGCCCAGGGCCAGGCCTGGAGGCATAATCTGGAGACCAAGAGCTCCCCTACCCACCAGGCAGCACTGCTGTGTTGGGGGATACAGGAGAGCCTCACAAGGACCAGAGAAGCGTGAGGTCTTCTCCTTAGGGAAAAAGAGAATTAGAGAATTGTTTGAGTTGGAAGGGATCTTTTCAAGGCTGTTTGATCCAACTCTCCCGCAATGAACAGAGATACCTACAGCTTGATCAGGTGCTCAGAGCCCCACTCAGCCCGACCAACCACCTGTGCCAGTATCTCACTGCCCTCATCGTAAAAAACTTCTTGCCTACATCCAATCTAAGACTTCATTTTTCTAGCTTGAAAACATTTCCCCTTGTTCTGTCACCACAAACTCTGCTAAAGAGACTGTCCCCTTCTTCCCTGTAGCTCCCCTGAAAGGCTGCTATCAGGTCATCTTAGAACCTTCTCTTCTCCAGGCTGCACAGCCCCAGCTCTCTCAACCTGTCCTCGTAGGAGAGGTGTTCCATCCCTCGGATCATTTCTGTGGCCCTGCCCTGGATGTGCTCCAACAGCTCCATGTCTCTCCTGTACTGAGGGCTCCACATCTGGACGCAGCACTCCAGGTGAGGCCTCCCAAACACAGAGCAGAAGGGCAGGATCACCTCCCTCACCCTGATGGCCACAGTGCAGCCCAGGATCTGGTCGGCTTTCAGGGCTGTAAGGACACATTGCTGGCTCACGTCCAGCTCGCCATCCGTCCGCCGTTACGCGCAGGTCCTTTTTGGCAGGACGACATTCCAAATCTCTGCCCGGACGCGGGCCTGGGCCAGAGATCCCAGCAAACCTCGGCCGCGCGCCCCAGGTGCCCGTGCAGGCAGCCCCGCTTTTCTGCCCAGACGCAGTACGGCAACCGCACCGCAGCGGCCACCCAGATCGCTCCGCTCCCGCACTGAGGCTCGCACGGCCGCGCCGCAGAACAAGCGCAGCCCCGGCCCGGCCGCACCCCTGGCACCACGGCGCATCCAGCGGCAGGCACGAAGGCACGGCCAGGGGAACGCGGCCAGAGCTGCGGTTCGGCCGCCCGCCCTACTTCGGGCACGGCACCGGAACGCGCCGTGCCGCTCGGGAGGTCGAGCTGCGCGCGGCTCTCGGTGCGGGGTTTTCTCAGAGGCCGCAGCTCGCTGCCGGGAAGCCGCGGACGGAGGCGGGGTGCCGGCAGCCGCCGCCCGCAGCGCCGTGTCACGCCGCAGGGCGCGGGCCGGCCCCGGGCCCCGCTCCGCAACCTCGGGCCGCGGCGGCGCCCGGCAGCGCTCGGGAGGCCGGGCCCGAGGCCCCGCGCTCGGCTCGGAGGTCGCGGGAGCCGCCAGAAGCCGCGGGCAGGGCAGGGCCGGGCCGCTCCCCGCCGGGGAAAGGGCCGCGGCCGCCTCCGGGCCCCCGGAGAACGGCGACGCCCGCCCGGCCGCGGCTGCGCAGCCTGGGCACGGCGGCCCGGTCCTCCCCCCCACCCGGCGCCGGCCGTCCCGTCCCACCGCGGCCGGGAACCGCCCCGGAGAAGCGCGGCGCCCTCCCGGCCTTCACCTGCCGCCGCGCGCCTCTCGGCCGGGCGCCGCTCCCGGCCCGGCGGCGCAGCCCCGGCCCGCCGCGCTCACCTTCCGCCGCCGGCCCGGCAACGGCGCAGAACGGCGCTCGCCCCCGCCCTTCCGCCATTGGCTGCAGCGCCCCTCGGCGGCGCGGGGAATGGCCGCCGCGCACGTCGGCGGGGGGGCGGGGATCCGCGTGGCCCCGCCCCGCTTCCGGCCCCGGGCGCTGCCGGGAGCTGCGGGTTGTTCTCGGCTGTGGAGCTGCCCCGTGAGCCGCCGTCTCCCACCGCCGTGTGGGCAGCGGCGCCGAGCCGCGTCTCTCTGCTCCCTGTAAACGTTTCCTTGCGCCCCGGGCGAAATTCGTGACGGCCACCGCAGGATCGCGCCCTGCGGCCTCTGCCGCGATTAGCCCCGGCCCTCAGCCTGTCTCTCCGTAGGATCCCGCAGGGCCGTTTCCACGGCCTCGGCTCGCTGTCAGCAGTTCGCCCCGGCCGCTGCCCCTTAGCAGCTCTGCGCCGGCAGCCTCCCGCCTCCGCCCGCCTCGCTGCCGTTGTGCGCGTACGGCCGTAGCTTTCCCTGGAGCCTCCTCTCACCTCTTCTCCGCTGGGCGAGCAGTTCGTACAGCTGGCACAAGGTTCCTGCCTGCCACGCCGACACAGCACTCCCTGTCTCTGTGTGCAGACAAAGAAACGCTGCTTAGGGCAGACGCGGGTGCCTGGCCGGGCGCTCGGGCTCTGCCTCCCTGTCGGGGTGCGGGGCTGAACCAGGCACCCGCACAGCCTTGTCTGACACCTCCTGCTCTTCCACAGCTATCCTGGGCCTCTTTACACCCTGGGGCCACGATAAAGTTTTGTGATCCGGTCATTTACACAGAAACAAGAGATCTCGCTTTTATCCAGGCGATTCCAGAATGTGAAATTTACAGCGTTAAAAGAGCTTTCTTACTGAATGAGCCTGTCACTAAGCCCCAGCAGGAGAAATCTCCGATTTTGTGTCTGCGTAGACTATTTAAGAACCAGTCTTGTCCACTTACCCTCTCTTCTAAGACACGCACATTTAAATAAATGAATCATAAATTATTCACACCCCTGTGTTTACAAGCTGACTCCCAATTATCTGTGTGCAAATCAGCCTGGCCTTGGGTTATCTGTGCCACTGGGACAGCACAGTGAATGCAGCTGTATCGCTTCAAAGCTCACTCAGCTCTGATGGCATTACAGCTGGTTTTGTAATTTAAAGCTAACAAGTCCTGCCAGGCCTTTGCTGGCTCTCTGTTGGATCGCTTTAGGTCTCGGTACAGCATATTCTTGGAATGAGCTTGGAATTATATTAAGTGCTCTGGTGGCCATAGGCAGAGTGGCTTCAGACAGGGTCTGCCTCCAACATCAAGTTATCTGTGTTTTTTATGAGGAACTGTGGTATATTTAGTGTTATCTCTTGCAAGATCTGCAGTCATCATAAAATCAGTGGGCAGTGGACAAAAGGAGTATATTGGAATGTTTCCCCAAAGACTCAAAATGTTCTACATTCCTCAAAATATCAATTCTGAAAATGAATTTGTTCATCAGGTCCTCAAGTAACCAGAATAGGGCTCTTTGTCACTTCCATTGATAAAGAATCCACAGCTAGATTATTGAGATTCCTCAGCCTTTTCATTTGGAAGCTGGGAAAACATGGAGAAGGAAATAGTTGTAAGTCAGCTTGAGGACAATTCAGTAAGAATTCTGAAGGGGGGAAGGAGCGGGTGGTATAATAGATTTCTTAAATTTCTCTATCACTTACTTCAATACTCTTTTTTTCCCTTAACATTCTCAAAACACAAGCAGCATCAAAAAGTTTAGGAAGTACTACTCAGCTATGCAGTATCCCGAACCATGAGTGTCAGCCTTGTTCATTGCTAGTTTCTGGAAAACAGAGGTGTTACAGTCAAGACCTGGCATTCTGGAATACGACACAACAAAATACTGAACATCCACAAAGGAGGAGCAACTCCCTGCCACCCTTTGTTTGTCATTTTAAGCTTTTACACTCCTCTGCCAAATATAATGTCATAGTTGCCTCTTCTCTGTAGTTCTGCTGCTATCATTCCTTCTTTTCACTGTCCTAGGTTAGGAGATAAGTTCCCTATCTCTTCCTACTGAGAACAAGTCCTTCATTGCTTTAGTGCACCACCATAGTGCTTACAATGAACGAAAGGCACAGCACATTTTCTCAGCTTGCAGATTGTGGAAACGATCTTCACAGCTAGATGGCAACAAAAGAATTCCACTAGACTTCCTACAGTAAAAAGTGAGAAATGTAATGTTGTGAGAGCATTAAAAGCAGCTGCCTGACTCTAATGTCAGTGGCATTTTCCTTCAATTTAAATATTTGCAATGGCCTTAATTAAACACTTAGTAACTGGCATCACGTTGAAATAGAAATACATTATGTAGTCTTACTGCTGTGCAGATTTTAATTCAGATTTATATCCTCCTTGGCTTTGTGCCTAGAATAAGTCTCGTGATTTAAGGGCTGTTTTACACAGTATAGAAATTGTCATAGAGGGCAAATTATCTTCTAGGTGAGTAACAGAATTTCCTGCAAGCAGCTTGCTAAAGAGATCCAACAATGCTATGTCCTCCTTATACTGTTTAAAGACTGAGAAGACTGCAAATAGAGGGATGGTCTCTTGGGTTGCTGAATGCAGCCTGTGGCAGCTGTAGGCTATGGTGTCATCTCAACCTTCCAAACAATTTTCTTTCACCCTCTAAAACCAGTGTTGAAACTGGTGATCCTGTTACACATAGTTACTGTTGTGTAAGATGATGTGTTAGGAACTCGGCTGCTGACAAAATGCTGATGTAAACAAATATTGCTTTTTCCGCCCCCCTCATTTTTATTCTTTAGGAAAATGAACACAGCAACTCATGGCACAGTATACAGTGATAACAGTAATATAGACCTCAGCACTCGTACCCAGACACTGGCCATTTGGGTTTCTTACAGCTTTTCATCCTAATAGGAAAAAAATACATCATTACAGCTAAAAAATAGAATTCCATTATAAAAAATTAACACGTTTCAATTCTACTATGTCTGAATGACCCAAGTTTTGCTGTTAAAATGGTAAAGATCAAATAAAGATTACAAATCAACCTTGTAGTAAATAGTTGCACTGGGAGATTTCCAGCAGGCCTGGCTTTGTTCCAAGTGTACTTTATTTTACTTGGGAGCGCAGTATACAAGCTGTGGCTCCGCTTCTTGCTGCCTCGTAGGCAGCCATTTTCTGGTCTGTTTCTCTGGCCATGAAGCCGTACTGAAGAGTCTTGAACCGCCTTTCCCGACTCTCTTCCAGTTCTTTCCAACGGCTCCACTGCAAAGAGTCCTGTAGAGATGACACAAAGGGGATCAGACTGCTGAGAATGTAATGGTTTTGTTTAGAGGATACACTGAACTTTGATTTGACAATTTGTCTGGCTGGTAACACAGCTAACACGGCTGGGAAACATCATCAGTTTGGGCATGATGAATGGAAAGGAACTCAATTGGGTTGCTCAGTTCATGATGAAGTACACAGCTGCAACACTACACAGAATGTGTGGTCGATAGAAAACTATTGGGATGGCTTGCTCCCCTGCCACTACCTCGTGTTCTTTCTCTGCAATCAAGTTATCCTTGAAGCCACAAATGAACAAACTCTATCACACTCTGCTGTTAGCTGATTTAAATGCTGGTTCACAAGGGAGCATTCTCAAAAAAAGCTCAGAAGCAACAGAAAACAGCTACTTCTTCATCAGATTTTTCACTTAATATGTTTTTTTTGTTTTTTTTTCTTTAAATTAATGGCAGTTTTCAATTATTATTATTTTTTTTTCCCACAGAATTGTAGGGGTTGGAAGGGACCTTTAGAGATCATTGGGTCCAACCCCCCTGCCAAGCAGGCCCCCTACAGCAGGCTGCACAGGTAGGCATCCAGAGAGGTCTTGAATATCTCCAGAGAAGGAGAATCCACAGCCCCTGTGGGCAGGCTGTTCCAGTGCTCCATCACCCTCACTGTGAAGAAGTTCCTTTGTGTATTGGTGTGGAACACGCTGTGCTCCAGTTTATGGCCATTTCCCTTTGTCCTGTCCCCACAGACTGCTGAAAACATCTTAGTTTTCCCAATTGCAATATAAATTGTGTTTTATTAAGAACTGTAATAGTTACTTATGAACAAATGTTAATTCCACTTAAACCAGCACAAGCCCATTGGGCCTCAAGGGCTATCCCTAACGTAACTGAAGCCACAGTCTGGATTTGGGGCTGTTGTACATAGGGTTAGTCTCACTCTTTTTCTACATACTGAAGAACCTAATAGGTACAAACTGAATGCCAGATAACTGTAATTAAACACCTTTTCCTATAGCTTTATGAACACCATTTACAGCAATGTGCAGTTCAGCTAGAATAAAGATGCTGTTGGGCATATCTGACAAGCACTGAGCTACTTCCCTGTAATAACATTTGGACAGGGTCATGCAGGGCTGCACAGCACTGACGGAAAATACCCCAAAACATCTAAGTAATTTAGAGTAACCTTAAGATTCTCCTGTTGTTTTCTTTTTTCTTTTTCTTTTTTACAGATGTCTTAACAACTGAGCAAGCCATAAACAAAAATATTGTGACATCTTAGGAGGGTAACTGTGTAAAGCTTTGCTAAAAAAATAATAAATAAAATACAAAATCTAACTTCAGAACAAACAAGCCTTGTTTGTTTGTTTTTTCCACTCTTATGCAACACAGGAGCACTCATACAGACCTACATCAGTAGTAAAAAGTCTGAATTTATAATTTGTTTATTTTATAAATGTCTCACATTTGTAATTATATAGCTTCTTGCCTTTGAAGTCTGCATTTATTGCCTCTACTTTATACTGGACCCCATTCAGCAATGTGATTAAGCGTCTGTTCAAAGCCTCAATTCAGAAAGCCATCCCAATTTAGGAAGTGCTTTCTTCAGTATTTTATTTGCTAAAAGGAACAGACCTAGTGCTCTATGTAAGCATGCACTTACACATGCAGTGACTTGAAATGGGGATACTGAGGACTGCAAACATTGGTACTCTCAAAGATTGCACTATTTCAGTTTTTAAACTATGTGCATTTGAAAAATACAATTTTCCTCTTCACTGAATTCAGCTTCATCTTTTCCACAGAGCAAGTAAAGAGTTATTATTTTAGTGGATTGGGAGATGTAGTTCTAATTTCTTACTGGGCTGGTACAGCTTTTAAAATGTGACCCCATCATAACTGTTCACTGCAGTGGCAGGGGCGGCAGTAGCAGTTCTCACCACTTGACTTCAGATGCTTGCTAAGGAAACACAACCACTGTCACCAGCATTAAGCCTACAGCCTATCGGTGCTTTCATTTGATGTTGTTGGAGTAGGTGGAGGAAAGGTCAGGTTAAAATCAAGGGAATGATGAGCTGAAACCTGCCTTGGGTGCAGAAAGCATCCCAGTTTGATGTAGTGAGATGTGCCTGTTAGGATGGTGAGACAGAATTAGGGACAGAGGTTAGATGCTGTTCCAGTGTGTGGTGACATGAGTGGGTATTATGTGGATGGACCCCAGTCTGTGGCAGCCAAATGTAAGGCAGGGAGGTGAGGTCAAGGCCGTGGTTTGAGGAGATTGTGTCTACACAGGAAGCAGGGACTTGCTACTGTCCCTCCAGTATGGCTTCTGCCACCCTTGCCAGTACTGGCAGTACAGCAAAACTCTGAACAGAAGGTCTGTTGCAGAGCTCTTTTCTTTATATACTCCCAGACCTTTCTTGCAGTGGTGGCTTTCTGGGGGGTAATCTTCAAGAGTCCTGCTTGCTTTTTACGCTCCATTGCTTTCTCTGCAATTTTTCTCTGCAGATTTAAAATGCGTTCATCTTTCATTTGCCTTTCGCCAGACTGGGACTTTCTTTTCTTTTCTTCTTGCCTGCAAAATGAAAAAGAAGCTATGAGAATGTAAAGTAATAACCTACGGAATAAATCCATCTGATTATATATTACTTGGATGATAATGAATTTGCCTTTGCTTCTGGGAACCAGGTTGGTTGAAAACAGGTTTAAATCACATAGCTCAATAGATGTGGTATTCACAGCTTGCTTTTTGTCTACAGAACAGCACTACTAAACAGTATAGAATCATTTTTTTCCCATAGAACTCCATGATGACAATATCTGACAATATTTCAAGCCTGACATGATATTCTTTAGAAAAAATACATGTGCAAAACTTGTGTTAGTACTGCAGCTTTTTGCTAGTGAAGTTTCTTTAACATGATCTTTAGTATTCATCTCAGTTGCTATTGACAAATGCAAGGTATTTGTCTCTGTGTAATCTGGATGTCCAAATTTAGAATCTATGGGGTGGTGATATATTAAAACTAGAGATTTTAGGAGAGGATAAATTGTTAGTACCTTGTGTAGCATATGTGTAAGGCATAGGAAAGTGGTTACTGGATAGTCTTATTTATTTATGTTTTTTCCCTCCTATTGTAGCTACTTTATCTTTTGGAGTTTACATTTCTGCCTGGTTTTGCTTGCTTTCATTCAGCTGGTGCAATGTACTCACATTTTTTTTTCATGTAATTTGCATCACCTTATACTGTGACTTACTTTACATCCAACTTTCTTGTTCCCTCAACAATGCCCTTGAACTTGGCTGGGTACCATCATGCTGCAGTACTACGTCATGATCAGTTGTGATTCTCTGTCCAAATCCAGTGCTAAAGTAAGTGTCAGATCTACCAAGGAATATATATCATTATCTAATATAACACCAGGTTAGATCTGATGTCTTCTCTCAGCTGGCAAGGATAGTTTTCTGCAAGGTCCTTTTATATTCCACTAGTACAACAGTACAACTGCTATTATTGGAAATCAGAACAGGACTTGGAATAACCAAGAGCAGAGTGCACTGGGGCCTTGTTAGCCAGTGTTGAACTCTTACTCTGTGAGTGCCAGGTCCAATTTTGGGACAGGTTGTCCTTTGGAAATGTTTTACAACAGAACTTCTCCCTCATCTTTTAGGTCTTATTCCATGGTGTTTTCATTGTAGGTCATGCTCTTCTCATGAAGAGGTCCCTGCCAACCTTAACTCTTCTGTGATGCTGTGATTCTCAAGGAGTTGGGAAAAGGAGAAGAAGCGTTTTTCCTTCTGATGCTAAAACCACCAGTTTACCTTCAGAAGTGTCTGCATCAAGATTCCAGTGATCCAAATACTGTTTTCATCTTGAGAAAGATATTTTGCTTATGCTTGTTAACTTCATCTTTGCTAAGAGGAAATTCCTCATAATAGCAGGTATTCTTCAGAGCAGCCATTCTAGACTACATTTCCCAAATCCTCAGAAATTGGATGCACAGGAGATTTGACCCATGCTACACTCCTAAATGCGACCGTGAACTCTTAAAAAAGGGCACAGTTTAGCTTGGTTTCTCATTTCCAGTTGATTTCCTGAGACACTTCCTGAGCTTCTCAGTTTGCGTCGTGTTGTCTACTTGGGATAACACTTCTGTCCCCTCCTTAATACAGTCACACTGCAACAGTGAGCTTAATTTTTAACACAATTCTGTAAGTCTAAAAGTTATGTGCTATCATATAATCTAATTGAGAACATGGGTTATTTCTATCTGCATTGCAATGAGGCATTGCATTCCAGGGGATCTAAGAGAGCATAACAGTAAGGTTTTATGTAAATAGTCAGTGATTAAATATCATCCGTGGGAATAAGCAACAAAACCTTTCACTACATGCAAATCCAAATTCTTGTAAATACCATTACAAGAGAAACAACAAGAGGTTTTACTTCATGAAGCAGCAGTAGCTGCTTCTGAATTAGCATTATAAATAGTTGGCTATTATCAGACAAATATTCAGTCCTCCTCTACATGAAGTCATGTGCCAGCCATGCTCTTCCAAAAAGCATAACTTTTCAGATGCCCCATCACATTCTAATGGAAAGCCAGAGAGGGAAAAAGATTTTTCAAGTTCTGTTTTTCTGTGATGGTCAGTGAAGAACTTGTAGGAGACATAAAATCCTCATACAACTTCTCTCTCCCTATATCACATGTCTCCTAAGGAAGCAAGTTAACAGTCACTCAGAATGAAATAGTCCATGGCTGGAAGAATCTTCTCTAGATACAACATAAAATTATGTGACAATTTTTGGAAAGCATACACAGAATTCTTAGTTTACTTAGAATCATAGAATCCTTGGAGTTGGAAGGGACTTTTAAAGGCCATTTAGTCCAACTCCCCTGCAGTGAGCAGGGACATGCACAGCTACATCAGGGCCTGGTCCAGCCTGGCCTTGAAAGTCTCCAGGGACGGGGCATCAACCAGATCTCTGGGCAGCCTATGCCAGTGCCTCACCACACCCACTGTAAAAGACTTTTTCCTTTTATCCAACCTAGATCTTCCCTCTTTTAAGCTTGAAGCCATTTCCCCTTGTTCTGTTACCACAGGCACTGCTAAAGAGTCTGTTCCTTTCTTTTCTGTAGCTCCCTTTTAGATATTGAATGGCCACTACTAGGTCACCTCACCTGGAGAAGAGGCTCTCTGGTCCAGGATGAACATCCCTAGCTCTCTCAGCCTGTTCCATCCCTTGGATCATTTCTGTGGCCCTGCTCTGGATGTGCTCCAACAGGTGCATGTCTCTTCTGTGCTGAGGACTCTACATCTGGACACAGTACTCCAGGTGAGGCCTCACCAGTGCAGAGCAGAGGGACAAGATCACCTCCCTCACCCTGATGGCCACTCTTCTCTTGATGCAGCCCACAGTATGTTGGTTTTCTGGGCTGTGAGGGCACTGCTGGCTCATGTCCAGCTTGCCATCCACCAGTACCCCAGGTCTTTTTCAGCAGGGCTGTTCTCAATGCTTTTATCCCCCAGCTTGTATTGGTAGTGGTGTACCAGGTGAGTGGTGAGAACATGCAGACCCAAGACGAGGCTAGGTTTAATCCAAAGTAATCCCACCAAACCACAGATTTGAAGCCTTAGCACCAACTGTTTTTATCTGTTGCTTGATTTTTATTGCACTGAATTACTTGCAATATAGATACAGCCTCACTGGAGTGAAAGAGAATTGTAACTGATATGGGCACAAACCTATAGTACATTAGCATGTATTCTGATAGTCAAAAATCTTTTAGAGTTCATGTTTGAAAGCTGAGAACTCAAATGTTTGTCCACCTCATATGCCAGTGCTAATTTTCAAACTATATGAAATTCTAGCAAATAAAAGGAAGTCCTCCATATACACTGAACTGATTCTTAAATGTTCTGTAAGCACTTATAAAGTTACTGCTGTGATGGATGTAACAGCTTTCAATCTATTAAAGGCTGATGTTTCTCTGATTTTTCATGTCCCATTTCCTATTTTGTTTAATATAGTTCATTATATGCTTGCCCAATATGCTTCTTTTGTCTTGATGTATGTCTGTAAATGATATTGAAAGGAACTTGCTTGGTAGGGACCCAATTAAACTCCAGCTGACACTAATTAAAGCAGATTTGTTTAGCAAAGCTTAGCCATCACACTTTGGCTGATTAGCAAGAGCCTTCAACATAATACAGTTGCAGGTATAATATGTAATTTTGTGTTGATGCACAGTGATATCTTATGAGCACCATTAGTAAGATTTGCTATGCCTGTAATTATGAACTAATTCTGTAAGCATAATTTGATCTTTATATCTCCTGTGCAGTATATCAATACAATTCAAGCAATTAATCACACTGACTTGATAGATATTTTGGGAGTCTAGACCTGTAAATAGGTTTAACACACAAAGTTTATGGTTTATTTAGAGAAAAATGAGAACTGCAGCAAAAAGTCTAGCACACGTAAGTATGCCAGCAGAAATACCACCACAGATTTGCATTCTAGATGATCAAGCATTAAAGACATTCCTGAAGAACAACATTGTGATGCCTCTTTATAATTAATGCTCCCAAGTTGTGACCTAGAGTGCTCGGGAAGTGTGAAAAGAAATGTCTTGTAAAATTGATACTGAAAATTTATACTACCTTCATTAGGAGAACAAATGGGACTCCACTAAAATAAAGTATATTTCTGTATTCCTTATCATGAGTCTGAACAGAAACATGCAAATTCAGTGTATAAATTTATTTGTATTTTACCATCATTGGCATGGTCATTTGTTCTAAATAACATGTCAAATATGTCTGGACAAATCCATGTTAACTTCACATTCCAGCATAGCTAATTTCAGGATTGGAAAGGTTTTAGCTCTGAATTAAGACAAAGAGCCTATTTTAAAGAAACCCAGCTCTATACAGCATGTAAACACTGCATATCTATCATAACAAATGATTTTTAGAATTCTTACTAGAGAAATAGCTTTTATGTAGTATACAAGTTCTTAATGCCTGGTTTGAATCTCTAGGGCAAGCAGTGACTTGAATTTCACAGGATTTCACATAACACTGAATTATGGGAATTTAGAGATGGGAATTTAGAGATGGGAATTTGTCTCCAGCTCAAAGTCTATTGCAGGTCCTTTAGTCTTCTCTCCATAGATGACAAAGAAGAGAAGGTCACTGATCTATGCAGTCAATCCACTGGAGCTGCAGTTATTGATTCACTAACCTCATTAAAATAAGTTCTTTAGTACTAACACAGTAAAACCTCACTCTTTGGAGATTAACTATCAGCTACAAACCAAATCAGAGCTGGGACCAGTGAAAACTAGTTAAATGAATACATCAATACTGCCTTCTGTAATTGAGATTTAGAACTGGAAGATAGATCAATAACATGAATTGAACTCCTAAGAAGCCACCCTTGGTATCTAAGTGATAAACACAAATCTAAAACATGTCTAAAGATGCATAGCTTTAGCTTGATAGAATATGTCTTCAGAATGTCAGCCTGAACATCTATTTGCAAAAATAAATATGGCAAAACAAGAAGTAAACTATCAAAGTCACGAGAGAGAAAAGGTGAAAGACAAAAAGGCAGAGTCAAGATGCAGTAAAAATGGCGTGAGAGCAGGAGGTGATCCATGTTTTACACACTTACACAGGCTTTCCTCTTGCTCAGATTTATTTGTAAATAATTTAAACTTAAATTTTACATTCCTTGTGGATGGGATCTGTCTTCTATATATGTAACCATCTATGATGGCTATGGATCCTTTATGACAATGAATAATAAATATGATAATTAATAATAAATATGCATAATGAATACAAAATTTGATCAGAGAGCCTGTAAGCAAAGATTCTTCTCTTTGATCTACAGCTATAGTATATTTAATTTATAATTTATTATTATTATCATCAGAAAATCTTCTTAAAGTATCTTCTAAAATAATGCCTGCCCTTTCACATAACAAATGAAGTTCAAAGAAGAAAACTGTAGCCCTAATATATTGGTTTAGATGAAAATGAGAAACCTCTTTAAGGAGCAAGTAAGAATGATTATAATAAAATCAAATTAGTTCTGATTAACTAAAAAGAAGCAGAAGAAAGAGCTTCTTACTCAATACACAGTTTTGGCTCTGAATACCAGCACAGTCCTCTCAGTACTAGCTGAATACAGTGTCTTCAACCATAAATTCGAATTGATGAAAAAGATTTGTTAAATTTGATGCAAATTATTTTCAGGAGTAAAAAGAAGTCTTGGTCCCAGTGTAATCTTTGACAAAAGCTACATTGCTTTATAAAAGGGCAGAATTTTGCTCTTGACTTGTTTTTCTTCTCATGGAACTAGCAAAATATTAACAAAGTTTCAATGTGTTAAATGTCATATACTGTTTTATACTGACTTTAATGCAGCTGCTCGTCCAAGTTCTGCTCTGAAAATGGAAATCTGGTCCAGTTTATCTAGAAGAAGTTGTTCCTTAGCTTGTTTATCTTGAATTATCTGGTCTCTCTTCTCTTCCTCTGCTGCCTTCTGTGCTTCTCTAAGTAGAGCGAGGCGTTCACGTAGTTCCACTATTGACATTTCACAAATTAAACCATGGCCACCAGTCTAGGAAATAAGAAGTATAGATTTAAATAACACTGTAAATGGCAAGGAGAGAGAAAATGAGTACAATCAGAGTGCTTTGATTGTGTTCCAAATCATGCTGAATATGTTTTGACTTCAAAAAAGACAGGGATGACTCTAACCTAACTGCTATTTACAAGCTGGTTTTAAAGTGTAGAGATCATCTTCTGGATGTGTAAAAACACAAGGCTCTCAAAACGTTCATGAAAAAATACTGAAATATAGAATAAATAAAAACAGAACATATTTGCTGTACAATAAAAATCTACTTGACTTATCATTTAGTTTTAATAAGCTTTTAAAAGTTTTGAAATCTGTAAAACTGCATCTTTTCTATTTTTGGTAAAACCAAAACTGACATTATACTCGAAGATATGCATTTTTTGTATTCATCTACATCCAATTACGGATGTGAACTATGATGACATCTATCATTTTTATCTGAAAAGACTAGGAGTAAGCAATGCTTTATACCAGGAAATTGAAAACTTAATGCCCAAATTCAAAATATTCAAATCTGAATGTCTATTGAAGGCTTTTAAAAATCCACTTTGTAATTAAAGTCACAGTGAGCCCTGTTATGAGATGTAATGAGATGTCTGCACCTTAGCTTTCATATGAACACAAATAATTTCTAAATAGACTTGTGTACACTTTAAGTTTTCAGCCCTTCTATATACTCTCCCTTTCGCTGAATGTACACATAAATGCAACTGCATATAGGGAAAATTTGTACAAATATACATGAATATTCATATTCTTTGGATCTATCTTTGCAAAATTTCATCCCTTTCACAGCAATTAATATTCTTTTGTTTAACAACACATTTTTGTTACACATCTTTCATGAGAATCTGGTATTATGGCATGTTATAATGGTGCAGGATATCAAGACTTTTACCAGACCTTTTCTAGACAGTAGCATAATACTAGGAGTGAAACACTGGTTAAGATTTTGATCACAAGGACCTTGACCTAATTTGTTCCACAGAAAATGAATGACAAAGTTTGGAAAGGCTGAATTTGAGGAAAGCAAACAAACAACCACTCCTCCAAACGTTATTTGTAAAACTGAACATAAGTGGTAATGATAAATATATGTAAATAAAACTCATTACAGTCATTTTAACGGAGAAAAATTATTCAGCTCAAGAGCTGATGTGCTTTCAAGTAATCCTTTCCAGCAGAAAAACAAACCTTTGTATTGAATACTGAGTTGCTTGTTGACAGAGTACAACTTGCCTTTCACAAAATAGAACATGAATGGGAAGGGAAAAAATCAACCACCAGGAAGAGAGAAGGATGTTCTGTTATAGACACATACTCACATTGTGAGTTTGGCTGCAAGACGCCAAGTATGACTGAAACAGACTTAACTAGCTGCTGCTACAATGGTGCTTAAGAGGGCTTATTATTGAGTTAGTCTGGAGAGCCTAATGATACAAATTCATCAGTGAAGGCCAATGAGTCTTGGGAAGGAACCTGTGGAGTCTTCCAACATTTCCAAGAGTTTCTCTGTGGTTTTGGTCCCCACAACTTCTCTTTCTAAAGCTTCAAAAGTTGAGTCAGTAAGAAGAAATCATCACCTCACTGTTTTTTACCTAAAGTTTGACTCTTCAGTTTTGGCTCCATGGTTCCTGCTTCCACACTCCTCATGTTTACCAAACATGACCTAAACACTGGTCATGTATGCATGAGTACACATGACTACAGGAGTAGCATCAGAAGAAGAGTGATAGAATAATTCAATTAATCTTCTCTTTGCATCTTCTTCATAAATATGTACCACCATAGCTAAATGAAAAAGTAAATGATTATTTCTCTCCTGTGATTTCAGTTTTGAATGAAATTGCAAATGGCAAGTACTATAATATCTTGCTACTAATTTAAGCTACTTAGTGACTGCTGAACTGTATGAAGGTGAAAGGAAACTGTTTTGCAACAGAGCATATATACCAGTGTTTGTATGTGAGTGTGGTAAGCAGACACCCAAAAGATTTAGGAAAGAGAAGCAATGTAATGGTAGGGATGAATACTTTCAGCACATGCATTCCAAAAATATTCAATGAAGACAGTGAAATGATTCCTAGAATAAGAAAAGTTCTATACTTGTGCAGTAAGTAATGCTGCTACTAGAGAAACTGAAGTGCCATCAAGGGAAGAACTGGGTACTTTAACAATTTTGAGAAGTAGTGTGAATTTTATGAATACATACTTCATTTCACTTAGCCTATAAAAGTCTTTTGTAGAAAGAACAAATAGGGCAAGCCATCACCAAAAGAATGCTAAATTACTCTGAGAACCATTGTAATAGTGGGTATAAGTGAATTGTGAAATAAGCTGAGATATCATTCAGGTTGACTCTTGAACTTGCAACCTTACACTTTAGTTACCGTAGATATAGCATAAGCTTGATTTCAGTTGAGGTTTTTTTTATATGCCTTGAAACCTTTTGTGCTTTTCTACTTTGTCTTTTGAGAAGAGCTAGATGGGAAATTTACTTTAAAGCCATATTCTGTACTTAGTTACAAACAGAATTCCAGTGGAAGCTCTGTGTCAAGTTGGCAGCCGTGTACACGGCAATAAAATTAAGTATGTTCAAAAGTAAGAAAGTACTGACATTGCAGTCACCTTCATTTTCCTCAGTGAGAGCCTGCACCATTTTATAGAAGTTGCTGTGATTAAAAAAGTAATGACATTTCCACATGCAACTACTTTGAACTGTTTTGTCTTTGCAGGCTATGTCTTATGACTTTGCAGCCCACATCTTGTGCCTGAATCCAGGTAAAAAACCAAAATGATCACGTTTAAAATTGATGAGGTCATTTTGTAATACTCTACGTTATCCTTCTTTTCAGTTTGGAGAAGGAAAATGGAGGAGTATATTTTAGCTACTCTGCTTCTGGTTTAGGGGTAAGATAAGAGACTTCTGGATGCTGTGTAAATCTGGAAATTCTGCAAAAGTGACCAGAGTCAGGTGTATCACCTGCTGTGAATCAATAGTAAGTTCAGGAAGTTTGGGATATATTTATACATGGACTTAATCACATATGCACTCACAAGTCACTTGCACAGTACATGCACAACAGATAAGCAGATTTTGGATTTTCCAGACAATCTCTTTCATATACCTGAATGTTGAAAGTTTTAAAAGCACAGGAAATTAATTTTGTCAGTTACCGTGGCAAACACCACTGCAATATGAACAACTATACATCACTTTGCACTTTGTGATTGTGTCAGCCTTCACTGAAGACTGACAAATCTGTGACTTTGTTAAGGTGGATGGCACATGTCGTACTCTGTTGGCAGTCTCTTTTTGAAAGATGTCTGGAAATCTAGATACTGGCAGAAAAATTCAAAGGAAATTCAAAGGGCCTATGATTTCACTTACTATCAGAAGCGGTGAGTCCTCACTTATCATCAGAATATTCTCCATGATCAAATTCTTATTTTATAAACTTTGTGAAAATTTCGGATCTAATCTTTGTCTCATGGGGTCACTTTGTGCTTATCACTACGCCTCTCCATGCAGTACACAATTCCTCTGAGCGTGTGAAACACAGACAGTACACATAAATGTAAAAACAGTAGTTTTTTTCCTTTGGGCTTACCTCAGTTAAGTCAACAAACTTCTGTTTAAGGATTGGTAAAGATTCAATGGCTCGTATTTGTTGAATTAATTCATATTTTTTCTTAAGTTTCTCTTCCTCTTCCTCTAAAGCTTGCCGAAGTAGTTCTCGATTTTCTTCACAAACTTCCTGAACTGAAAGAAAAGAACTGATCTCTGTTAGCCGGCTGCATATTTTAACAAGTAGTCCATCTGGAGGAAAACTCATATGCATTTGTGAATAATGATAATAATACATATCTGGAGGTACTTGAAGGAACAATCTGTCATTGGTGGGAGGAACAATTAAAGAAACAAATGAGTACTTCCCACCTCCACTATCTATCATTCTATTCAACATAGAAGCATATTGTATACATACATAAAGTAGACAATTTGAATGATTTCTTCTTAATTTCTGTTCTAACTAATATATATTGTTTCATTTTTAAATAAAAGGATATTACACAACATCAAACATTTTGTAGTTTATCAAACTCTACATATCCTAGATATCAGTGACTCACAAAGCTTGGTAGGCTTTGCTATGCCATTTCAGATTGGCTAACACTTTCTGCCACCCTCAGTACAAGTATAGAGATAGTTAATCAGTGAAAAGTATTCTGCTCACCAAAATATGCACAATTTAAGGGAGCCCATTTGTACACTGTTAACATTTATTAACGTGTGTTAACATTTGTTAACATGGTATTGCATTGGAATATGTACAGCCTTCTGCCTGGGTTTCATTCACTGATGTATTAACTAGGAATTTTATTTAAGAATTGTGGAGGATGTGTAACACAATTTCTCTTCATTCTAATGGCTGGTCTGTCTTGTGCTAATCCTTCTCCTTTGTGGTACTGTTCTTTTGGCAGATGTCTTTTCTTTCTTCAGCTACAATTATCTCCTCCAGACTGTCTTCTCTAAAGAAGACAATAATCTCGAGCTATGATTCTTTCAAAGAGGTTGCTAGGCAAATCCTCTCTTAATGGCATGAATCACAGGAATCTGAGCTTCCTAAATTGATTTGACAAAAAGTACAGCCATTCAAGTATGCTGCTTTTAGATGGAGGAGAAACCAGTTGCAGAACATTAGCATTGTAATCTTCCCTTTTGAACAAAGTTTAATTCCCATAAGCAGTGAGTTAGAATTTCTGATCTACCTGCTACCAACTTAGTCCTAAAATTCATATTCTTACATTTATGGGAATTTATATCCTGGATATTTTCCACAACTTCCTCTTCCTTTCAGAAAAATTGTGATTGCCCCTCTAAAACAAAGTAATCTGGGGACATTTGGCATCATATCTAATTTTTCTGGCTATATATAAATACCTATCTGCTGTTTGTATTTCTGAAGCTTTAGTTTTGCTTGCTTTGCATTCTTGTGTCCTTCCACGACCTTCTCCACCAGCTCTCTCATTTCTTTCTGTTCCTGTAGACATCTCTCTGCATATTCATGCATCAGCTCTGCTTTCTAAATCCCAAAAAAACAAGTTAATAAAATTCCTGGTAATCAATTATATGAGTGTTTCAAATAATTGAAACAGTGCAAAGACAACTGCATTCACTGGACTATATCATCCCTGAAACTGAGGTTAATATAATGGCTACAATCATTTTTGTATGGCTGAAAGCAACCACACTATGTTCAATTGTACATGTTAGGGTTCACTTCAAGTTGCTGCTTTATAGTTTGTCTAGACAAACATAATGCCAGAGTAGCTGAAAGGTATTTTTTTAAGGGTAGAAAAGGACCCCATTAAGCACATTTCCCTTTTATATTATGCCAAATCTTTGTGGGTCTATCCTAAATTGCTGAGTCACTACTGACATCTGTGGGAGGTGACCAAGAGAAAAGTAGTGGTCAGCCTACAGGGCATAGCAACAAACCAAGTTAATAGAAAAGAAAAACGGTGGATACAGCCTGTGATAGTCACTTTTGAAACTATTAATTCTGTAGTACTTGATTATTTCTTGAGCATTTGCTTAGTTTATAAGAAAAGTGCCAGGAAAAAGTGAGTTTGGAAAAAAAAAAAAAACAACTTAGCAATGTTTTGGGGAAAATGTGATTTGCCATGTTGGAAAATATGTTAAAAGGTACTTTCTGGCTTAAGTATTCCATTTGCCATATCTGTAGATCAGCAGAGGGTTCCTATCTGAATTTTCCCCAGGAGACATACAGCCATGTCGGATAATATGAAATAAATTGAATTTATCTGCTTAAGGAAACAAATTTGTTTATATTCATGACTCCCATTTAACAAGATAATTAAATTAGTCACATATTGGTGATTTCATTGCAAATGGTGCCTAATATCTCAGTATCTAAGCAAAAAGAATATTAATAATGACATGAAAATTGGGAAGGATGCTTTACTTTCTGTTTTTACTCAATTGAATTCAGAAGTGCTATCAATCAAATCAAACACTTATAAAAACTACTTGAATGTATAAACATTGCAGTGTCTGGAAGTTTTAGCATTATTTATCCATTGTTTACAGACTCCAGTGAGTAAAGACACAGTGCAGAACCTTTATAAGTACTTGTAATAGGCATCATCTATGGTAAATTTTGCAGTAATTGAATACAGGCAAAATTTGAACAAAGCTGTATTACCTCTTCTCTCATTAGATCAGCTTTCTTCTTATTTTCTTGAATTACATTCTGATGGGCTAGAACTGCCTCTTCGTGACTCAGTTTCCCTTGAAGCCTTCTATACTCTATTTCAGCCAGCTGCTCTTCCAAATCTTTTCCACGCATCTGCTTTTGCCATTCCAAGAATTCAGATGGGTCTCCAGTCCCTCGTAGCAGATTTTCAATTCTGCAAGAGTGAAGGAAAAGTATGTCACACTCTGGCTCTCCAGCCCTGCTTTGGTTTATAAAACATTTCTAGAAGTTTTCTGTGACATAAAGTGCTTGATCCCTGCAGAGAGAAAAGGTAGTCACTGTGAAGACATCCAACAGATGTATTTTAATTCCAGTTCAAGAGGTCCTACTAGGTAGAAAGCCTGGGAAAGTAGGGCAGTAAGAAAGTGTATGAAGGCATGGACATGAAAGTTGTCAGCAAAGTAAAGCCCAAAGAGAGGGCTAACTTTATTTACATGTACATTCTTATAAAGAGCAAGGAGAATCAGGCCAAAGGTATGTAAATTTTCTCAGAGGATTATTTTGCTTAGAGATAGAAAGAACTAATAAGTTTTCTCTTTGGCAGTTTTCTTGCCAACTTTGCTGTAGAGAAATAAAAACTTTCCTGCTTATTTCTGTTCCTGTTTTGTATGTCACCAATTAAATAATCTATAATATTGTTGTAATGAGGCGAGGAAGTATTCAGCTGTTAAGTAAAACCACATTCTTCTTTTTTATGGATGGTCAAGAGAGAAAAGCAAAGCAAAGCCCTGCAGCAGGCCTCTCAAAGTCCAGCAGCAAAGGACTGAATGAGCCAAGAGCTTGGGCACAGACACGAAAATGCAGTAAGTTGTGCCTTACTATTGCTCTTCAATGTGTATGTATGTATTTGTTGTGTGTTAAATGCAGCTGAACATTACATCTCATGAATAAAAAAAAATGTTAAGGGGAACATTATTCCTTTGCTGAGTGCAATAAAATTCTGCCAGATAAAGTGAACAGTAGCATGTATAATTGTATGAAAAACTTCAGTATACATACAGCTGTTAACAATAGGTGATAGCACAACCTGAGTGATGTGTAAAATCTTGCTGCTGAAATTCTGATCCATCTATCAAAATTTCATACAAAAACCAAATTCAGTTTTAGACAGTCATTCCAGGACTTAGAATAACAATAGTATTTAGTCCTTATCTTGCTAAGTCAGATGGATTAGTAAAAATACTAAATGAAAATGACAATGATATGGGTTTTACCTTAGTTAAGATTATTACTGAAAATGTTCTGTATTTTTAGTTATAGAATACAGTCTGCAGCAGACATTCAGAAGCCCAATTAATATCAGCTGAAAATCTGTGCTGCATAGTCAGACTTCCTTACGTCAGAGTTCCATGTGCATGAAATGGACCTAAAAGATCTTATTCCCCAACCCTAGGATTTAGTTGCCTGTATTCAAACACAGCTGTGTTATGGTGCAGCTGTGCACCACTGGATCTGACTGCAGAGAGAAGAGCTGTGTGAAAAACTGATGAGAAAATTGTATCTGTGAAGCTTCTTCCTGGAAGCTGCATTTAAACATAGAAGCCTTTGTTCTTGGTATGTTGCAGGTATGCCTGTGCCCAGCCTTGTATCTGCTAACCCCGTCTTGTTGACTTGTCTCTGGGCTTGGCCTTGGCCTGACTTGTCCCTATAGTCTTGCCTAGCAATTGCTGGATTGCTGGCTGACCCTGCTTCCCCTCACTGGACCCACTCTGCTGCCTTGCCAGCGTACTATGGGACTGAGTGGCTTCTCAGTGAGGACACTGCCCTTGCATGCCTTGCTGTCACCCACAATCCTGCTCATCCAGCTTGTGGACCAGCATGGTCTTAGTCCTCCCATACACCTTAATGTGATAGAAAGGGGCAGGTATTTCTATACATAGATAAACAAATTCAACTATCAACTTTGCATGCATTCTCCCCTCCCCTGTTCCCCCCCACCCAAAAAAAAAAGAAAGTATATGTAATGTTTAACATATATGCTTAATATACATGCTCCTTTTATAATGGACACAAAGGTAGATGTGTATTTGGGTCATTATTTATTCTGAAGAACTGGAACAAATGTAACAATCAATCTTTATTGGACTTTACAAATGGACACTACCCAGAGTGCAAAATCAGAGCACAGTCACACAGCACATCATTTATAGTAAAATAATGACTTCAGTGTAAATTTTCATTTTAGTCCACTTTTCTGTTTGTCACCAATGCTTACAGAATAGCTTCTTAATGCCTTATAAAAGGTCCTTTATATTAGTTTACCTGAAGTTTGCGTAATTATTGTAATGTTGTCAATGATTTTTTATCAAGAGGTGTGAAAAATAATCTGAGGAGGATGTGTGACCATACCTCTGGAGCTCCTGTTCCATTTTTCGCTGATAGAGGGCACCCTCTCTTAAAATAGCTGCTGCATTTAATTTAATAGGTAAATTGTCGATCTGTCAGGAGAGGGAATGTATGTACTATCGTTAGTAATGTAAACCATAAAACAGAGTATAAAAACATTTCAATGGGTTAAATAAATCGACCCAAGACAGCATAAATTTTGTTTAAAGCATTCATCTAGCATTAATCTGACATTCACAATGAAATTGCATGCTGTTCATAAACCACTCAAGCTGCTTAAGAAATCAGCAAAGTCCCCCAAGTGGATTATAAATTTGTAATCACTCTTGGACCATGTCAAATCCCTTAGAATGTGTTCACTTCCTTTCATTTATTCAGTGCTCAAGTTCTTAGTGTGCATGAATTCCATCTGGTTTGGACAAAGGAAGTAAACTGTTTCCAGAATAAAATATTTTGAGTGCCTGTCTCTGAGGGAAGGTAAATTAGCCAAAAACATTAAAATAAAATACAAGCAGTACCTCTAACATGAAGGTCTCAAAAGTTTTTTTGTTTTTTTGTTTTTTTTTTTGCAAATGATCACTATTTTAACTTCAAAATATTTCTAAAACAACTGGCATTACCAATTGCCATATCCATTTTCCAGATCCTGGAAGCAAAGTTCTCAGTGACTCAGTCTTCACATTACAACTTGGACCAGATCCTGTGGCTGCTTTGTAGTTCTTCAGAGTACTGCCTTAGGACTAAACTCCCAGACAATCTCTAAATACTGCATGAAGAAGGGAACAATCTCTTTGCCAGTTAAAAATACTCCTTGAATATGTAGACTGTTCAGATGACAAAATATAGCACCTTTGCAAATGCATATAATTAGATGTGATCAGAACGAAGGCAAAGCAGGGCAGACAGGATAAGAACAGAGATCATTCCTGCAGAAAATAAAGCTTAGTCATGACACATTTGACCTAACTCCAGAAAAAAATTCTTTGTTTAATATCCAAACATGTATTTAAACTCCAAATTAACAGCTTAATGAGAAGCTGACAAACAGATGCACAGAATCACTCAAGCTATATTCTGCAAATATTGTACATACTGCAGTCTCCTGAAATGTGTAAGTTAACTGGAAAATGGATATTTTATAATTGATATTAATTAGGCAGGTTGAAGATAATGAATGTATGCTATCACCTGGAAATTCACTAAGTAGATTTACCAAGTTTTCCTCACAGATGGCAAAAAAAAATTAATGGCAAAAAATTAACTGCTTGCTTAATTATGGGCAAAATGATGATAGCTAAAAGAATTTAGGACAAGAATGCAATTTTGTTTGATTCACTATACTTATTCTTCTCAATGCCTAACTAAATCCTTCCTTTTGGTCCACTTATCAGCCTTTATTAATGGCTTCTGCATTACACTGACATTTCTTCTTGTCCTTCACCCTCCAGCCTGGATTATACCCTATACTGGTGTAGAGTAGACATTTTCTCTGACACATGTAGAAATTTCCATATATTTGGTGACTACCTGCATATACAGATTTCACGTTCTGTATTTACTAAGTAAAATGTGGCTAGAGAACTGAGTTAAGTCTGATTATGAAAACAAGTTTAGCTTCAGATTCTCATGTTGTTAAACAGAAGTATGAATGAAGCTCATATAGTCAAAATTACTAGAACTTCCAAGCTATGTGAAGACAGGCATAAGTGAAATAACTGGAAAGATTCTTCTGTTTCATGTGGTATTAAGGAATTTCTAAATTTTTCACATTCATTTTCTGTTGTGAGATACTTACCCTTTTTCAAGATGAGAAAACGGAAAAAAACTGGCTAAATGTAGACTACTGTAAGTCTTGTGGAAAAAGATTGCATTCACTATGATATTGCATTCACCTACTAATAAACACACAGTAGCTCACCAAAACCAATATGTACAGAGAGAAGAGGGCCAGATATGAGCAAGAAGCAGACTGAGACAGAGTGATGATGCATTTGTACTGTCTCACTCTTGAAGTGAAAAAGATGAATAGAGATTTTGTAATGGCAATCAGAAATAATTGTTGGTGCACACAATAAGTGTGCTTGATAGAATTGAAAAAATGTATTTCACATATGGTGAGTGTTCTAAAAAGAGAAAAAGAACATAATAGTTGGTTAAAACATTACGTGATGTCATTCATTTGAGGATAAATTATACTCTTTGTAACACATAATGGATAAACCTTTCTCTATGATGCACAGATAGGAAGGCAAAAGGAGTAGAAAGTATTTTGAAAGTCAGTAACAATTGCCTGTCTCAAAAGTTATAGCAGCTTCTTGAATATCATCTAACTAACTTTTATGGGAAATGTGTTTAGATGAGATAAAACTGATTTTACTTCCAGAGAAGACACTAGAAGGTGTTAGAAATATCCTGATCAATAGAGTAAGATGCTGGATCCACATTTTTTTAATGTGATTCAGGCAGATGGCTTGACTCTTCTGAACTGGCACTTAGGTTTCAATTTTTTTAATTATGAGAGACAAAAGTGGAATATACATTGTCCTGAACCAAGTTCACATAATTACAGGTCATATGTTTGGGTTATCTGTGTATGTTTTTTTCTGACTTTTTTTTCTTTTGAGGGCAAAAGGAATTGGGATGTGACTGTTTTCCCATAATTTATATGGTCTTAGATTGTTAGTAAGCAGATTGAGTAGATGATACTGTTATTAACAACAACTTCAGTATGTGATTGGTGCCAGATATTCCTTAGAGATTTTTACTAGAAGCCCAGTTCTCAAAGAAGGGAACCAGACTTCCCAAAGTCTGTAAGAACTGTATCTAAATACAGTTTTTAAAAGTAGGTATATCTGTTCACAAGGTTTTTTGGGTGACAATACAAGTACAACTTCTACATTTAACTTTTTTAGATATGAATTTAAATGAAAAGTGATTGATTGAATGATGTAAGACTGAAGATTATCCATAGTATAACTACCAAAGAGACAGCAATGTGAGTTTTCATGTATTATACGACCAAGAGTGGAACAAATTTTCTGTATTTACAATTCTCTGAGCCTTGCAAATCCTAGCAGAGAAACATGCAGTTCAGTGGATTTTATGACCTGAGTATGTTTATAAAGGGCAGAAGATAAATCACTAGATGGACTGTATATTGCATATCAGGCAGTCATTATCCAGAGTCAGTGCTCATCATTCTTTAGGGTCTCATTTTGAAACAGTCATTCATAGATATAAGATTATTCTGTCTCTGTGCTGAGTTCTTAAGCCATTCGTTCACAATTATTTTCTCCCTGTGGGCTATTCTTAATACTCAACATTATATATAGAAATTTCTCCACTTGGAATTGAAAACATGGTTAAAGCAATATAGTTTCATGCTGCAACTGCAAACAACTTACTTGTTAGTGTTATGAGGGAACTAACAGGCTATAATTGATGCTCACCTAGCACCTCCACTCAGACCCTTTGTCCATTTAAGCTCAGTGGGGGTTGTCAGTGCTTTCCTGTTACACTGGAGGTAATTCTGCTCCTTGTCTCTCCAGTTTAGTATGTGGCTGTCCTTACTGGACTTCCAGTATATACCTGCATTGATGTAGCATTGTTTCTTAACTGGTCTTCCTTGGTGCACTCCAGACCTCACATTTCATTGTTTGTGTAAGGATGATTGGCAGTCAGCAGGGTCTGTCATTACAACTACAAGCCTTGCCTTGCTCTGGGCAGATACTGCAACCTTCTTCCTGAATGGTGTGGGCACTGCCTGTGCTCTTGTTACCCTTGGCTGCTAGTTTGGCTTCCCTCCTGCAGTAGCCACTCACCGGTTGTTCCCACATTTCCTTGTGAATTGTTTAAGATCCACAGGCCTAAACTTATAAACCTTAAATCTAATCCATTCCATTCTGGCCACAGAATATGATGTAAAATCAAAGATTCCATTAGGCTTTGCACCACCAAAAAATCTGTGTTTTACACTCAAAAAAATTCCAAGCATATCTACAATGGGATCTGAAACATTACTCACCCTGCTTTGGATCTTCTGAGCCTGGAATGCTGGCCTGCTCTTCATATTGTCCTGTGTGTTCTGCAGTTCAAACTAAAATCACATTTTTTCATTTCAGAGAGATATTTTCAAATACTCAGCAAACAATGTTAGCTCTGTACTGAAAACCATTCCTGAGGATTCAGCTAGAGCAACAAATATGATCACAGGATATGTATTTTCTTGTTATACATTCAAAACTTGTTATGTACACCCAGTACAGTGGGAATATTTCATATCAAATGACTATACAAATGTAGGTCCAAATAAAAACTTATGACAAATACTATTATTTTATTTCTATAATCTTTATTGACTAAAATAATGCCAAAGAAGTAACAGTGACATTTCATTTGCCTAGTGAATTCTACCTGTCAACCATGACAGTATTCAGCTTTTAACTGAAATAGATATTGGGAAGACAAAATGTGGTGTCAGAGGATATTTCATGGAATCATTAAAGTATTCAAATTCAACTGAAGGTCATTATTTTCATTTTAGCGTGATACTGACATAAAAGTGTCTACACATCATAAGGATGAACACAGTGAATAGAATATGCAGATGTGATGAATATATTATATAAATAGTTTGTGACAGAGGTGTAAATTAGTAATCAACCAAAGCAAGAATTTCATATGAAAACAAGTGTTACTGCCTCAGCTTGACTGATCTGTGGCCTTAAAAGTTAATGCAAAAATAATAGGTTTAGAAGAATATTGCTGGTTTGGAGACTTGTTGGAGTAGTATCATGGGACGTCTCATTGTCTCAGAGTCAGGAGAATAAAATAGCAGGACCAGAACAAAAGGGGGTTGTACATTATAAATGCAAAGAGGCAAATGTCAGTATGGTTGTTGTACAATCTGAAAACAATAATAAGGATGTGAACTGACAACAACACAGTTTTAAGTGACAACACATAATTCCCAGTCCCAAATAAACAAAAATTTTCAAATATTTTGAGATATCTTTACACAACTGTTATTTTCATCTTCATACTTGGAGATATTTAAGCAATAAAGTATTTTGTAGCATACCTCTGCTTTTTCAGGTTTCATGGCTGCACATCTGAACTGGTTAGTGTTTGCTTTCAGAAGCAGATCCTAGAATAAAAACAATTATCTTAAGGAATATGGTACATTCATAGTCTCTATTAATTTTCTGTCTGAAAAAAACACTGCAGCACAGACAATATACTAATTTCATTCCAATGAATGAGGGTTATGGTGAGGAAGGGGTTGGCCCCTTCTCCCAGGTAACTAGTGATAGGACCAGAGGAATGCACTCTTGTTGCACCAGGGGAGGTTCAGGTTGGATATTAGGAAAAATTTCTTCTCTGAGTGAGTGGTCAGGCATTGGAACAGGCTGCTCAGGAAAGTGCTTGAGTCACTGTCCCTGAAGGTGTTCAAGAAATGTTTAGATGTGGTACTAAGAGACATGATTTAGTGGGGGAATATCGGTGGTAGGTGGACTGTTGGATGAGATGATCTTGGAGGTCTGTTAGAATCTCGGTGATTCTAAACCTGGACTTACTATTTATCTGAATTGCCATTCCTCATGAAACATTTCTAGTAGGCAAGTCTTGATTGTCCACATAGGTTTAACTGGTTCTAACTTTTGCACAGGGCACCAGACCTCATGCTAGGTCTTCCCATACGGAAGATGTTGCTCATTTAAACTTTTACTTAAAATCCTCATAATCATCTACAGCATATCAGTTTCCACGTAGCCAATGAAAAATGGCTTTGTTTTTCTATTGAATAAGAAGGCTGTGATCAGAAGATCTGAGCACCAATGATTGCTCCAATATCCATAACAGTAATTCCAGCTGTCATTTCAAATGGGGGGGGGGGGGGGGAAGAACAAGCATTCACATTTCCTGCTTTTAGATATTTCTTTTCATTGTAATTTCTAATCAAATCTGTGAAACAGATTAGATTTTCCAATGTCTTTCTTGTGGTCAGCTGTCCATAGTATCAGCACTTTTATAACCACCTAGCATGTGGTTACCAGTGCTCCCACCCCATTTTTCACAGCTGGTCAGACTTTGTACTTACAGCTGTAGCTATTACAAAAATGCTACAAAACAAATGGCATTTTCTTTTAGGACCCAACATTTCAGCTTGTTTAGCAAAGAGCCTGGGGAAGTGACCTTTGTGAATGCTTTGGATTCCTTTTATAATATTCCAGAGGCAACAAAAACTGCTGTTATTGCAGCTATAATTTCTGTGGTAGTTTTATTTTGTTCCTTGTATTCATGCATTTTCTTCACTGAGGAATGTGGCTGGTATTTAAGTGATTTTATAGTTGTCATAGAGTTTTGACAGTATAGGCACTGTGATATCTTGATTTTCCTCCACAGATTTTCCAGGAAGTTCATAAGTACAAATAAGCACACAGACAAATAGATGTGTGCTTTCTCCACAGTGGGGAAATAATAAGAAGATAAAAAATAATGCAGTACTGTTTGATAATAAAATACCAACCACTGGTAACGTGATGGGTCAGCAAAAGGAACGCAAAATTTATCCCCCTAGAATTTATCTCATGTTGTAGCTTTTACTATAGTTTAGGAACAAAATCCAATGCCCCTTTCACAAGGACATCAGGAGAGCCCAGAACAATGATAAATGGTTTTGTCTGAGTACCAGCTACTAAAAGTTAGAGTAAGGCATTTTCAGAATGGAGGTGGCGGAGTTCAGATACAAACAAGTCAAATAGCGCACGTTTTATCAAATTTACCCTGTGATTGGATCGGATATGGTGACTGCAGTGTGGGCAGAAAGAAAGAAGTGGGAACTGACATTTAATTAATTCCCTTCCAAAGAGAAGAAGACAGTAATCTGCTTTAACCATAATAGGAGCTAACCTAATGAACAGGCTTCATAACAAAGATTGGATCAATTCAAATAGCTAGATCTGTTTCTTTCTGTGAAGGCATTTAAACAGACCCTCCCTTCTCTTGCTCTCTTAAGACACAGATCATGTACCAATTCAGATACCTAGATGTCTCTTTCTATGAGGGCCCTTATCAGACACTCCCTTCTCCTGCTCTTTTAACACACAGACCATGTACTCTGCTTCTTTACAAATCATGATGACTTCCCACTCTCTCAGTCCACTGAAGGAAAGAGCATGAAGTCTGAGTGAAAAGGAAGTTAGAATCTACTGATATTTTAAAATTCTGAGTAATTACATGGTTATTTATCAGTTACTACAGAAGGCAAATGAAAGTACTGAACATATTCCATATTTCAAGTCTGAACATCTTTCATATTTCAAGTCTTGATTATTAAGTGAATGTGTTAAATACTGACGTGCTGTAGAAGTAAAAGAGACAATTTTTAGCTTGTGAAGAGAAGGAAGTAATTGAGTTTCTACTGCCTTTCATAGCTACTTGCATAATCTATCATGCAATTCCTATTCTGTGTATAAAAGGTGAATATCCATACAATTAATATTAAAATAAAAATGAACAAAGGGTAATAGCAGAGATTAGAGAATACAAACTTCATAATTCTAGGGAAAGAGCCAGAAGTTATTAGCTGCAAAAGCAAAAATGTTTCAGATAGAGTTCGATGACTTGTGAAAACTGGTACAAGTTGCAGAACAGATGATTAGAAGAAAGAAAAGAACATAACAGGTACATAATATACTTACTTCTGCTTTTTGGCGATTTTTTGTTTTGATTTTCTCTAGTTGCTTTTTTTCCTTTGGAGGCTTGTAGGTGCTTGGAGGAACCTAAAAAAAAAAGCAGTAATATCTACAATATGGAATGTAAAACATTCAAAGTGATATGCAATGAAAACACTGCATTCATCTCCACTATAAATCAGCTGCAGTTATTTTTAAAATATTGTTTATTTTCTATTAGTGCCAACATAGAAGCCATGGACAGATTCCAATTAGCTGGGACCACCCAAGCTTTTCAGACCTGTCCAGTGTAAGACAAGACTCAGACAAGGGACCAAAAAGAAAGAAAAATCTGAAACAAGTACAAGAAAGGCTAAAGAAATAATAAACACCACAGGCCCTATGAAGGGGGAAAAGCAGTTCCTAGAAATGGAAAAGTTCTATTTGGCATCTTATAAATTTGAGCTTTGTAGCAGTTAAAAGTTAAAGGTGAGACTCTTTGGCACAGGGCATGGCCAAAGTTTAGGGAAGATACATACTTCACAGGTTATTAAATGTCCAGGAACTGCAGGAACTCTTTGAGCTGAAATGTTTGGAATCTGAGTAGGTTGTTGGAGAAAGCAGCAATTAAGCTTGTCTCTTCTGTGTGCTCTTCCTACACATCTATGTTTGGTCACTGCAGGAGAAAACGTACTAGGCAAAATAAGCCTTTGCTTTGGTCTACTGAGACTGCTTTTGTAAAATAATATAATTGGAGATGTAGCTTAAATGTTTGGAGGTAGAGGACTCAGCCTTAATCAGAAATTTGGTCAAGAATTCACAGGAATTCAGGAAATGCTACAGATAAAACAAAAAATAGATAGTCTGGCTGTCTTATGGCTGAGCAGAAGACTAGGCAGAAGGGGGAACAGGAGCTGCATGGTTTTCATCACAGCTGAAGCTTCACAGGGATTTCAGTATTTGCTTAAGCAGAATCTGGAAAAAGACTGGATGTCTCCTTCCTGTGTGGGTGAGATAGTCTACCAGCTTACAGGACATCTGCTTAAATATTTATCTTGCTAAAAAAGTTCTACCTCCAATAGAGGTTTCAAAATTAATTCAAGAATTAATGGGAAAAATCTGTAATGGGAATGGGGGCATCCCATCTGGTTTTACTGGACTATATAAAGAGCTACACTTTGAAAAACTCATGGCACTGATGTACTTTCCATTGCCTTTGCTACCTCACATCATTATCTACAGGCAAAACAAATGCACAGATAGAAAAGGCCAGGAATTAAATGCATGGGTGAGACTACTCAATGTCTTTGTGAGCTTTTTAAGTGAAGTAAAACTGAAAGTATTTCCCAGCAATATCTACGATTTTTTATTATGCTTTTATGGATGGAGAAATTAAAGCCCAAAGGATTTGCAAAGGGTTGCACAGGCAGTGAGTATCAGTTTATTTCACTCTTCCCAATCATGTGCTTTACCTGCAAAAATGCAATCATCTGTCAGTGTAAGCTGAAGATCTCTCCACAGAAAATGCTGTGCTTATTCCAAGTATTTTAAGGAGGAGACTTTTCAATCAGCTGTTTCAGAAATGATCCTAGCCTTGTAATTTAGCCCTCAGATACCATGGTTTTGATTACCAATCAGGCAGATGAATAGACAACACAGCAATTACCCTTTCTAATAATAAACAACTTGCAGTTGTCAGAAGAGGATGAATACATCCCTATAGGCAAATTGTGAATTCCAGCAATAGAGAGACTGGAAAGCCCAAACTGTACCTACTTAATTCTTTAGTAGTAAAAAAAGGAGGCTGGGAGTGACACACACCAAGCTTGCCTTTCCCCTCTGGCTGTGGTCAGGTTCACCCACGGTTTCTGGATATGCTTCTACCAGTGGTTTATTTCAGGAGCATGCATCACGAGAATTTTAAGGAAGAACAAAATGGCATGACATGATCACTGAGCTGACACCGTGCAGAAAGAAACAGAACTACAGGCTTTTCTTTGGGGCCCTGAGACAGCAGTTCTGGATAAACTCCAGACCCATCATAGGCTATTTAGTGCCTTAAAGGTGCAGAGAAGCAAATATCCAGAGAATGCCAAATGATTTCTAAGAAACTGTTCAGTTTTGTTTAATCATACCCAAAATACACACCCAAGTAGAAATTCCTTATATTAGATGAGGCAATGTCACAATGCCAGCAGAATATAAGCTTCAGGAAGAAGTGTGAGGGGAAAATATTGCACAGGATGATGAATAAGCACTCTGAACTTTGGTAGTGAGCAGAATTCTATTTTTTTTTAAAGTTACTGTTGTAAGCAATGCTTATCCTATAAAAAACTTCTGTTTTTATACATGAAGGCAAGTATATTGTTTGTTCTATATATTAGCATTCCTCATAATAACACACAACTCTTCACCACACAGCATCCAAACCAATGTACTGCTCTCACTTTCCTACATCTTTCTTGCCATCTGGACAGCCTTTTCAGTCTCTGCTGAATGTTGAAGATCTAAAATGGTGATGCTGGCAATAATGTGGCAAATCAAAGTGAAGCTTTATTTGCTGAGATAGGCAAAGGGATGGGCACATCATATGTCACTACTGCGCTGATGGTTTTAGATTCACACAAACTATTGCATTTGCAGACTTGGCCAGAATGTAATCCAAATTTTGTATAACCCTAACAACACAAATGAAGTTCAGTAAATTAATCTGCATTAAAGCAAATTTATTCTAAGAGGGGCTGCACAGCATAAAGGCATTAAAATGACAGCAACATGACTCATTCCTCTACCGATTCAGTAGTTATTAAATGCAGTTTTTCAGAGCCCAATATTAAGTTGTTCCAGTGTAAAATTCCATTAACTGTATAACACACTACCATTAGACTGCTCTGCTCTCCTAAGATGTAAATGCTACCTAAGAGCATTCAACATATGCATTATTTAAAATCTGAAGTGCTAATGCAAGGTGGCAGATAATACTCAAAACAATGACTTCCAAGCTTACTTCCCACTGCATTTAAATATAGATGATTTTGGAGTCTTTATTAAGTTAGTCAGAGCAACTTGATCCCAAATCCTGTTTGCCTTACCCCAGTGAGGTAACTTAAAACCAATTGTGTGTCTCTGATTTGTACCAGTATGACTGAACCAGAATCTTGAACATAAAATAAATAAAATAAAAGCTTACCATTTCAAAGACAAAGTCATCTCTCATTTGTATGTGAGCAACAAATTTCAACAGAAAAAAAAATTTAGAGATTCAACATTAATACAAATAGTGAGAAATAAAATTCCACCCTAAAGGAGTTGCAAAACTGGAGTCCATCTCATCTCCAAAATTGCTTTGCTATTTGTTTTAACAAGTTCATCTAAAAGTATCCAGCTAGCTTATAACTTTTTTTCATTTTAATATTATTTTCTTACCTGCTTCATTGCATTATCCAAAGCAAGCATTTTACAAATCCAAGGACTACCACACATTTTTATATCTGCTTTCATCAGTGTGCATCCACTGTGTATTTCTACCTCCAAAAGATGCAAAACAAATACAGAAAACAACCATTCCCCTTTCTTTTATTTGGTCTACAGTTTGCTTATGCAAGATTCACTGAAATGAAAAGAATTAGTTATTTTTATAGAAATCTGACCTTCAGTAATACTAAAATGAAATGAATTCTTGTTTGTCTGTCAAAGGTTTTGGATTTTCTACAATTATTTTGAAAGAGGCCATGGAATCACTTACCATGATTTTGTGCACAAGAACACACAAACCACAGTGTCTCACAAAGCATAAAAAAACTCACAGGGGGACTTTTTTCCAGCACTGGTACTGGCAGAGGTACAGGAATGGCACGTGGCTTGGGAACAGTCAAATTAAATTCCTTTGGCTGAGTGACCGTTGACATTTTGACGTCGGTAGTACGACTGCTTAACTTATCCGCAAGTTGTTCTATCAGCTGCTGTACTTTAGGCTGCCATCTTCAAATAAAAATAAGATTTTAAAATTCTATTTCATTTTTTTATATTGTACAAACTTACAATACAGTATTTGCATTTAGCACTTGTGTGAATTCTGTAACACTTTACACCACTGTTTTCTTCCTATAAACCCATTAATTTCTACTTATGATTTAGTTGGATTGTGTTATTCCACCTCTTGGTAGATGCTAGTCCAGAAATAAAATAGCCAAAGTTTCTTCTGAATAAGCAACTGTGTTGCCAGCTTATTTTGCAGCAGGATCTGGCTATGAAACAGCAAATCGGCTTTCAGAAGCAGAGTACACATAGATGAAGAGACTATGGACAGACAGAGGTCTCAGTATTACCATAGTCATCATCTGGCAGAGTATGCACAGATAATCTCACAGCACATGCAGGTCAAATTAAAAAAAAAAACAAACAAAAAAACAACAAATAGAATGATGTAAGGAATTTGGTGGAATTAGCAAACGAACCATCAAAACAACTTGGTGCCTGTAGGGCAGTTGAGATGATTTTGATTTCTCTGTGTTTGGATTTTTGATTGTATGATGGTTCAAACTTCTTCCCAGGAATGACAGGAAGGTACAGAATTCAAGGTGGCATACAAACAAGCTATCACAGGGCTGATTTTGTTCACAGCTTAATGTCAGCTATTGAGTCTCCATATTTATTCAACCTGTATTACACATGTAATGGAGTTTTCCCAGAATGTAAAACTCAGATGACTGCAAATTTATTATCACTTCTTTATGTGGCTACTAGCTTAGCCACTACTGTCACTGTGGGATGAGGCTTATGAGTACCTTCTGAAAGTAATAAGACTTTTATATCAACCTCATATTTCATGAATTTAAGCTACTGAAGTAATTAAACTGACCAGTGCATCCCCAGGCCTTTGAAAGAGGTTTCAAATCTAGTAACAAAATCAGGTCTTCAACATTCTTGTACAACTAACGTTTCTTTGTAGGCAAAATGTGTGCTTGTTATACTGAATGAGACTGTGTGCAAATGACAGTTCTCACAAGCCTACTATTAATGAAACACAAGCAACAGATAATATTCTGTATCTCTGCATCTTTATATTGTTGTTGTAAGAATACTTTATAATTACAATTACTATACAAGAATATACTGAGCCAAATTCTGACCAGGTATGTCTCTGTAATTACTGTAGTATGTAGTGGAGTTGTATTTCGAGCCCAATCTGTAGTACTACATTTACTAATTTCACATATTCTGTAAGGTATTACAGGGTTAATTCTAGTGACTGATACTATAGAACTAGACACAAATTCTTTTTCAGCTGGCACTGTTTATAACAGTTCTGTCTAACAGCATTTGCCATCATTTGAGGTAATCTCTATTGCAGTGAGGAGGAGATGTGATTGCAGCCACCCAGGTGTACCCAAGTTAGCTTTAATTTATCTGTCCTGAGTGAAAACAAGAGCTAAAAAGTGACACAAATTGCTGAGTAACTGAAATACAGGTACTCTTCCTCCCTGTGAAAATGTTCCAGCTTAGCAAAGGTCTATCTCCACCAAAGCAATGTGTGGTCACATCTGGCCCCTTCAAGCATTTAAACCATTAAGTGATGCTTCAACTGTGTAAATGAATAATAATTTAAAAATAATTGTTTACACGCTTATCTGATTTGCTCAGAAGGGGTTTATAACCGTCTGCTTAAACAAATCTGAGCACAAAGCCAAGCCTTTTTTCATGTTCTTAATGTCATACAGATGTCGAAGTGACTTATGAGACTGGACTTGCTCCCTGAGAGAACAAGAACCTGCTAGTGTGATGTTTGATCTATTCATGGGCAATAAGAAACTAATTTAGAACAGCTGTGGAAGGACTTCTGTATGAGAGAACCTTGCCTCTGGGCAACTAAAAGGGATTACTATGGTCTCATGAAGACAAGAAAGGTTCTCAGTGACTTAATTGGGAAAAATACCTTAAAAGTAAATTGAATTTTTATCAGAAGGTTTCTATATTGCATTTAAACTCTTGAGGTGAACACAGGTTACTTAAGTACTGGCTGCTTACCTCAGCAGGGGATCGATCCAGTTCTCTTTTACATACAGTGAATCGTACAGCTGACTCCATTCATCTTTTATCCATGTGTTCAAATACAAGGCATTGAAGAAGAATCTAAGAAACTAGTTACAAGTGATTTATTTTCAATATGCTTATTAAAGGTATGAGGTACATAAAAGTACCAAAAAACCCTCAAGCAAACAAACATGATTTGTTTATAAACACTGCTGAAGAACTTGGTTTTATTATACCCTGTATTATAACCATATCTGCTTGATATTTGTATGTCCTTAGTTCTGCTAGGAAAGCCTCATGATCTATTTAATGAAACATTAATAGATACTCAAATATTTTAATGGCCTAAAAAATATCTAGCGGCTTCAACATGGAGATGTTTTGATGCATCTTTAAGCTGATTCAAACATTGTCTAACACAAGTTTTCGTTAAAAAATAAAGTAATTGCTATTCCCATACACTGATTTTAGTTTCATTACATAATAGAGTTTTGATGTCTAAAATACGTGCAGCCAACTCCTGATTATTTGTAGCTGGATGAGCCATGGTGCCCCAAAATATCTCAGGCCTGGCAGTGCACCTGAATTACTTCAGATCCTTTCAGTTCCCTGGGAACTTTGCAAGGAGAACTGGTGAGATCTACAGTAGCTGCTATACAATGTGGTTTCATTTTTTATTGAAATATAATTAATGGGCTTATTTCCATTAAACTAGGAAGTTCAATTTGGCACATATAAATTATACAGCTCTGTGTTTGAGAAATAACAACATTCGAACATGTGATTTCCACTGGAGTTCCCAGAAGGCCTTCCTTTAAAATCTGAGCTCTTCAAACAGACTTTTGAAACGCTCTTGAAAAATGCCACTCAGATCCAGCGTGTATCATGGACATATAGATTTCAAATTTGGACCTGAACTTTTTCATTCCTGGAAATGAAAGAATGCCTGGCAATCATAGAATCATAGAACATCCTGAAGTGGAAGGGAGCCAAGTATCACACCAAAATAATCCCAGTGATAGCAAAAAGGCCCTAAATAATACAGACACTGTGGGATGTACTGGAAAACTGGGTGCAGTCACTTGAATAGCATCTAGTGGAGACTGCAGGTCTTATTATTTCAGACTTGGTTTCAGTCCTTCCTTATTTGGGTTGGTTGCTACAGATCCATACAGGTCTTTGTATAGAGTTTCTGTTCCAGGGAACTAACAGGCAGCTTCTTCATTCACGGGTGGTGCCCAGCTCAAGAGGGGTTAGAACCTCATGAATTACTCAGCTATAGACAATATAGTTTGTCTCTAGGTGTTTGCTGCAGTAGTTACAGAAGCACAGAAGGCCTGCTACTTTAAATCTGTAGACTTCTGATAATTTCCAAGGAATCAACCTGTAAATTTTGTCTGATTTTCATCTATTTGGGCTTTTGGTAGAGTCAAATGTCTTATCAACAACTGAATGACATCTGAATAAAGTAATTGTTAGCATCTTGGATTCCCATTTATGTCTAGAAATTACTGTTCTTCCCCCAAACTGCAGATGCTGATTTTTCACTATCTAGAAGAATACATTTATTGTCTAAAAGCAGGACTATAAACTGTTGAATTGTGAAGGTTTCTTTCTTTCTTTCTTTCTTTCTTTCTTTCTTTCTTTCTTTCTTTCTTTCTTTCTTTCTTTCTTTCTTCCTTTCTTCCTTTCTTCCTTTCTTCCTTTCTTCCTTTCTTCCTTTCTTCCTTTCTTCCTTTCTTCCTTTCTTTTTGCTGTTT